AGCCCTGTCAGCAGTTAGTGGTGGGTCATTGTGCTTGCAGCAGCAGCAGTCAGTGCTGGGTCACCACGGTAACCCAGCACTGACTGCAGGACTAGCTTCCAGTGCTTAGTCAAGCCTTTGGTCATTATGGTCACTGCCTTTTTATATATATAGATAATGCTGCTGTGAAAATCATGTGAAAATTTGTGTGGACATATGTTTTCATTTCCCTAGAAGTGGAATTGCTGGGTCATTTTGTAACCTTGTTGTCTAACTTTTTGAGGAACTGGTAAACTGTTTTCTACAGCAGCTATATCTTTTAACATTCCTACTAGCAATGTATGAGGGTTCTAGTTTCTCTGCCTTCTCAACAACACTTACTGTATATTTTCTTTTTCTTATAACCACTTTAATGAGTATGAAGTAGTATCTCATTGTGGTTTTGATAAGCATTTCCCTAGTGTTTAATTATTTTGAGCATGGTTTTGTGTGCTCATTGGCCATATGTATATCTTCTTTGGAGAAATGTCTATTCAAATATTTTCCCAACTTTTGATTATTTTTATTGTTGAGTTGTATGAGATTTTTATATATTCCTCATCAAATGTATAATTTGTAAATATTTCTCCCATTCTATGTGTTGTTTTATCACTTTAAAAAATATATTTTATTGATTTTTTTATAGAGAAGAAGGGAGAGGGATAGAGATACAGTTCCTCATGTTGTGGTGACCCTCAACCATAAAATTATTTTTGTTGCTACTTTGTAACTGTAATTTTGCTACTGTTAATGAATAATAGTGTAAATATCTGTGTTTTCTGATGGTCTTAGGCTCTACAGCAGTGGTTCTCAACCTGTGGGTCTCGACCTACAGATTGAAAATCACTAGCAGGGTCACCTAAGACCATCGGAAAACACAGATATTTACATTATGATTAATTAACAATAGCAAAATTATAGTTATGAAATAGCAACAAAAATGATTTTATGTTTGGGGGTCACCACAACATGAGGAACTGTATTAAAGGGTTGAGGCATTAGAAAGGTTGAGAACCACTGCTCCATAGGTGAGCTGTTTTTTTTCCCTCTGGCTTCTTTTAAGATTTTTTCTTAATCTTTGATTTTTCTAGAGTTTGAAAATAATATGACTAGGTGATTTTTTTTTGGGGGGGGGGAAGGGGTGCATTTATTCTGCTTTATGGATCTGTGGTTCTGTGTCTAACATTAATTTATGGAAATTCTATCATTGTTTCAAATGTTTTTTCTGTTCCCTTTTCTCTTTCTTTTGGTATTCTTATCATACATTGTTAGGAATTGTCCCCCAGTTTTCAGGTATTCTGTTCCAATTTTTAAAAAAAATTTTCTATTTCCTTTTACATTTTAGAAGTTTCTATTGACATATCTTCAAGCTCAGAGATTCTTCAGTGGCTCAGACTGTTAATGAACCCATCCAAGCCATTCTTTATTTCTTTTTTAGTGTTTTTTCCCTAGTATTTCATTTTTATTATTTCTTAGTATTGTTCTCTGCTTACAATATCAATTTGTTCTTGTATGTTATCTTCTTTCACTATTATGGGTCTTCGCATATTAATCAGTTACATTAAAATTCTGGTCTGATAACGCCAACATTCCTGCCATATTTGGCTCTTATTCTAATGTTTGCTCTATCTCTTCAAGCTGTGTTTTTTGCATTTTAGTATGCTTTGTAATTTTTTGTTGAAAACCAGACATGATGAACTAGGTAAAAGGAATTGTAGTAAATAGGCCTTTAGTAATGTGATGGTGAGGTGTGAGGAAGAGTTTTAAGATCCTATGATTAGTTCTCCATCTTTTGGTGAGCTTATGTCCCTAGATTTGTAAGGCTCATTAGCATTTCTCAGTTTTTTCTTTACCCTCCCTTAGGTGGGACTTCAAGACCAGAATTAGGTATTTCCCTTCTCCTAGATATGTTAGGCTCTGATAAAGCCCCAATAGATTAGGTTATGATAAAATTATTGCTCTCTTAAAAAGGAAACCTTGTTACAAAGAACAGAATTTACTGAAGCATGAGTGCGATTATCCTCCTATCTTCATTGTGAGAACCCTTTAGAGCAACTGGAAGTAAAACTCACAAAAGTGTGGGTATACTCCCCTGTAACTGGGCCCCTCGAGTTTTTAACTTTCATACTGTTTTGCATTCAGTCCCCAGCTATCCATAATTTCAGTTCATGTTTTCCTACCCAGGTACCAATTCCCATGAAGACTTCTGCTCCTGGGTTTCCTTTCTAGCAAGTTTTGATTCTCTGTATCTTTCGGTCTGTTTCTCCAATTTGGGGAGTAATGTTTTCCCCATGACCACAATTCACTGACAGATATAAGAGAAAATAAGTTTTCTTTCAGTTTGTTCAGCTATTTACTTGTTACTAGGATAGAGTAATGACTTACAAGCTTTTTAAAGAAAGACTGGAAACCAGAAGTCCAAATTTATCTTTTCTTTTTTGATTTTTAATTTAATTTTTGTCTTTATTGTTGAGAATATTACAGACATCCCCCTCTTCCCTCCATTACCTCCCTTCACCTGGTTTCTGCCCCGCCCCAGGCCTTCACCATCTTACTGTCTGTGTCCATAGGTAAGATCTTTAGTTTATTTCATCCTGCCCTCCTCCTCGCTTCCCTCTGAGATTTTCCAGTCTGTTCCATGCTTCCATGTCTCTGATTTTATTTTATTCATTAGTTTGTTTTGTTCATTAGATTCATTATTTGTTTATTTTAGACTTTTAGATTCATTTGTTGATAGACATATATTTATTGCCATTATTTGATGGCATTTGCAGCTATATATTTGTCTCCTAAGCACTGCTTTAACTGCTTTCCATATGTTTTTTTTTATGTGTTTTTGAAAATTAATCTCAAGTTAGTTTCTAATTCCTTTTATTGTGCTTAGACTTTTATAGGGGTGACATTTCTATTTCATTATTGGATTAGTTTCAGAGAGCATTATTAGTTCTATCAGGCCCCTGGATTTACATTTATACCTTTAAAGAATAGTTTCTGAAGAAGAGAGGAACTGAGAGTAGACATTAGTGGCTGGGGAGGAAGGGATACCATTTAAGCCTCAGCTTTTTTTTTCCTTTTTATTGTAGTGGCCAGATTATTATACATTCAGAGATCATAACTATCTGGCCACTCAGTGTATATGTTCTTTGGTTAATCCCTTCACCTTCTTTCATCCAGTCCCCTCTCCCCTCTTCACTCTGACAGTTGTCAGTTTGTTCCATGTATCTATATACTTCTGGTTCTATTTTGTTTTTCACTTTATTTTGTTCATTAGATTCCACATATAAGTTAAATCATATGGTATTTGTCTTTCTCTGATTATAATCCCCAGTTTTTGAAGCCACCCTCTGCCTGTGTTCTTCTAAACCAGTAGTTCTCAACTAGGGAGGGATATTACCCTTCTGGTTACATTTGACAATGTCTAGAGACATTTTTGGTTGTCATACTGGAGTAGGGGATAGCATGCAACTGGCATCCAGTGGATATAGGATGCTGCTCAACATCCTAAAGTGCACAGGGCATCCTCTCATAGCAAAGAATTATCTGGTCTGAAATGTCAACACTGCTGCCATTTAGAAACCCTTTTATCCCTTAAATTGCTCAGATTGTTTCCCACTCACCCAGCACCTACCTATACAGTGTCTTACTATCGCTTCACAATGGTCGCTGGAGGTAAATGAAATGTCATGATTTTGAGATGAGGTGAGCAAAGCCTTAAATTTGAACTAACCTGTCAGTTAATAGCAAAGTGTGGATGACCACCCTCTAGACCAGTTGATTCCCAAAAAGCCCACTTCTACCTGGGCTCCACTTGCATTGTTTATTTCATCTTTCAAAAGCAGGTTATTGTGCATTGTCTTGTGAGTATATGTCTGGCATATTGGTACGCTCAGCGGCCTCTCCTAGCTAAGAATGCTTTACATTGTCTTGTGATCCCTCATTGTCTTGTTCAATATCTCCCTCTACAAATAGTGTGGAAACTCCCTGGGGACAACATAGAATTTGGCATTGACTAGACATTCAATGATTTTTGTTGTTGAACGAATTAGGCTACATAAGAGAAAATATATAAAAATGTAAGCTTGGTTATCCTTAGGAGCTCAAAGTGAAAGCTGTAGGTGACTCCAGAGAGGCTAGGAAATGGGGTGTGACCCGAGAACTGATGGGGGAAGAGAAATTATGGGCCTGTATGTTGCTTGTTTTGTGTATAGGATTTAACTAGTTTGCCATTAATAATACTGGTATTATTGATATTTCCCTTGTTAAATTTGTCACATTTCAGCTTCCTTTTGTCTTTGAATTGTCCAGACTAGCACCTTTTATCTTTATTAAAAGACCAGTTTTAACCCTGTTTGAAAATTCAGAGACCTCAGATTTTGTTTCCTAAAGGTCTTATAAAAAACATAACTAAAAAAATCTTTTGTAATATTTGATATTAGTTATTGTTATATTATCTTAATATTAATTGAATCTCTATAATAAGTCCTCACAAAACTGTTGAGAGGTTCTATGACTTTAAGTGAAATGATGTATAACAAAGCGAATTTTACCATGGACTATCAGCAGTCGCCAACCTTTTGGACCTCACAGACCACCAGTGGTCCACAGAGCACCGGTTGGCGACTGCTGGACTAATTGATATAAACAAGAGTTAGATTCCTACAGCATCTCATTAACATAACGATGCTGAAGAAAATAACATTATTCAAGGACCTGCTCTATGGATTAAGGTAGCTGGTCTCTATTTTTCCATACATAAAATGGAAATAATGATCCTTTATTAGCTGAGACTTTTCTTGAGATGCAATTATAAAAGTAGTTTGCTAGAATGAAACAAAGTGCATTCAGACTTTGTGTTTTTTACTTACACTGCTAGCCTGAGTAAATGGGATGTTGATCTAGTAATTTGATTAAAAAATCAAAAGTTATTTTACTGCCCTGACTGTCCTGACAATGACAATGCCTTGATTTTTGTTTCTCCACAGGTGTTACAGAACATAATAGACACTGAAAAAGATTATGCTAAAGAACTTCAGTCTCTTCTTGTTACTTACTTAAGACCCCTGCAGTCCAATAACAAGTAAGATTTATATTTGAAAGCCCTCACTAAATAAAGCAAGATAACATCAGCATATGGAGTCATTGCTCTCATGTCACTGAATAATTTATATTGCCCTTTAGAAAAATTTCCACAGATCACAAGTTGCTGAGAACATGGTCAAGGCAACAGAAAAGAGCTTGGCTTTCTTTCTCTTCTGGCTGTGAAAGGGACGAGTAGATCTTCATTTCTGTCTCTCACAATTTTTATGTTATATGTTTCAAGTCATACATCTGGTTTTACCTCATAGAAAAAGAACTTGTTAGTGTTTTTATCCAGAAAGTACATAAACTGAAAATTATTTTGCTCACTCTGACCTTTGCTTGCAAGGGCAGAAACTCTTTCCCATGCGCTGTGAGTGGAAAAAGTACGGCATTTTATGAATGTTCATAAAAACAATTCAAAGCAGTATTTTACCCAGGCAAAAGTGAATGATAAAGAGATGCTAAAAATTTTTTTAAATAAAATGTTCTGAACTTATTCTGGTCTTAGAAACTTGAGGTGATAATTTTTACAAATGAAAAATATTGACCATACATTTTTTTGTGTGCTTGTAGGAATAGTATATTTAACAAAGAGTGCCTCACTGCATTTGTTTGTGTTTTTATGTGAATTTATTAATCTTTACTACAGATTATGATCTATAAGTCAAATAGAAAACTTAGCAGTTGGTCCATATAACAGAAAACAAAAGCCTCCTCTTTTACTTTAGTAGAGTTTATTTTTGTTAGATAGTTGCCTGAACTATTGACTTCAGGCTTAAATAAGTTTAATATATCACTACTTTTTCTCTCCCCGCCCCCCAAATCATGTTTGTATAGGCATAATGTCTTGCTAAATTTTGCACTTGGTTATTTTCATGGTATTATACTATGGGAATCTTACTTCAGTATTCCTGTGTTTTGTAAGAGTTTAATCATATTCACCAAAATGTCTTTGTCATTACTTATGTAAAACATGAAGTGTTCTATGAATCATGGTTCTTAGAGCTGAATGGAACCTCAGTGAATTATTGGGTCCAGTGCCCTGGAAGAAATGACTGTCCCCACTAAATAAATAAGAAAACTGAAGTTCATAAAGGCTTTCTACTGTACCCATCACACAACCAGTCAGTGGCCAGATTGGACCATTTTGTCTCCTGCCACCAAGTGAAATGTGCCTTTAATTTTTCTGGAGGTGACAGGCAGAGGAGGAGAGGGAACCCTGGGAGGGGAAATGGTAAGATTTCAAATGAAGGAGTGACTGATTAGTAATCAAGAAACAGTACGAGGAAGGGAAAGGAAGAGCCAGGTCAGAGGAGGTGAGAGACTTGAGTCAGAACTGAACTGTTCCCAACTAAATTCAAAATGTGGTTATAGTAAGTTTCCATTGGTTCTGTCTTAGAGACCCCAGAGTTATTTGAGCCAAACCAGATTGTTTATTGTCTGATCCTAAAGGGGCCAAATAAGTCCCCAGTCAAGTTCTTGGGGCTGTGATAGAGTAACAACCAGGAAAGCTGGCTGAAGGTTTCACTTTTGACACCCATCAGAGGGGTTTTCTAGCTTGTTTCAGGAAGACGCTAGAGTAGAGGAACTGGGAGCTTTTTATACTCTAGGGGTTATTGGTAACATTTCTCGGGGTCTTCCTTTTCTTTGTCAGCAAAAATTACTCTCTTGGAAATATTCCCTTAGTATTACTATACTAAGGAGAAAGGACATGTGGCCTTTTAAGGCAGATACTGACCTTGTAAGTAAACCTTCGGCCAAGTTTTCTCCCAAAAAAGTGGTTAAGAGTGTGGCTCTGGAGCTAAATTTTTTTAAATACATTTTTATTGATTTTTTACAGAGAGGAAGGGAGAGAGATAGAGAGTTAGAAACATCAATGAGAGAGAAACATCCATCAGCTGCCTCCTGCACACTGCCTACTGGGGATGTGCCTGCAACCAAGGAACATGCCCTTGACCGGAATCAAATCCGGTACCTTTCAATTTGCAGGCCGACGCCCTATCCACTGAACCACACCGGTTTCAGCTGGAGTTAAAATGTTTTGACTCAAACTTTGACTTTGCTATTTACTAGCTTTGTGACTTGAGGTGATTTGCATAATCTTCTTGTACCTGGGTTTCCTTACAAGTAAGATAAAAACAATAGTACCTACATCATAAAGTTATTGTAAGGTTCAAATGAGTTATTATTTGTAAATACTTGTATAAGTGTTAAATGCTTATGAGTGTTGTTAGATCTTGTTGTTATCACCTATTAGTATTTTTTTCAATTACAGTTTACATTCAATATTATTTTGTATTAGTTTCAAATGTACAGCATGATGGCTAGATATTTCCAGTACCCACCTGGCACCATATATAGTTATTACAATACTAGAGGCCCAGCACACAAAATTTGTGCACAGGAGGGGGTTATCCCTCAGCCTGACCTGTACCCTTTATAATTTGGGACCTCTCGGGGGATGTCTGACTGATGGTTTAGGCCATATGCCTAGGGGATTGAGCCTTACCCGGCAGTCAGACATCCCTTTCACAATCTGGGACTGCTGGCTCCTAATTGCTCACCTGCCTGCCTGCCTGATTGCCCCTAACCACTCTGCCTGCCTGATGCCCCTAACTGCTCCCTTGCCTGCCTCATTGCTCCTAACCGCCTCTGCTTGCCTGCCTTTAACCTCTCTGCCTGCCTGCCTAATCACTCCCAACTGCTCTACTCTGCTGGCCTGATCACCCTGACTGCTCTTCCCTGTAGCCTGATCCCCCTAACTGCTCTCCCCTGCCTGCCTGATCACCCCTAACCTCTCTTCCTGCATGCTTAATTGCCCCTAACTGCTCTCCTCTGTTGGCCTGGACCCCCTACCTGCTCTCCCCTGCAGGCCTGATCCCCCTAACTGCTCTCCCCTGCCAGCCTGATCACCCTAACTGCCTCTGCCTCAGCCCTGCCACCGTGGCTTTGTCTGGAAAGACGTCCAGAAGGTCACCCGGAAGATATCTGGTCTAATTGGCATGTTATCCTTTTATTAGTATAGATTATTTACTATATTTTATACACTGTGATTGACATCCCTGTGACTATTTTATAATTATCAATCTGTACTTCTCAATTCCTTCATCTTTTTCACCTAGTCCCCCAACCACCCTCCCTTCTGACAACTATCAATCTGTTCTGTGTATCTATGAGCCTGTTTCTGTTTTGACAGGGGAAGACTGAATGAGAAAATTTTTAATATAGAGGCCCTGGACAAAATTATTCAGTTTGCTTTTGTTTGACTCCATTCCACTTCAAAAACAAAGAAAGAAATTAGTACTACTTCTCCTACCTCCTCTCATAAAGAGTTCTTTTAGTTGATTTATGTGCATTTTAATATAGGAGAAACTGGAGTTTGCTATTTTCCCCTGTGCATTATATGAGCATATATACCTTTCAATTACTTTCCCAGCTCCTCTAGAAGAGAGTTCTCAAGATGTTTTACATTTATCGCCATCTATGATGTATTTTACATGTTTAGATGATAAGATGTTCTTATTGAGGTATAATTGACATATATCATTGTATTAGTTTCAGGTGTACAGCATAATTATTTGACAGATATATGTTTATATTGTGAAATGATTACCACAATAAGTCTAGTTAACAGCCATCACCATATATAGTTACAGAAATTTTTTTTTTCTTGTGATGAGAACTACTAAGATCCACCCTCTTAACAGCTTTCAAATATGCGGTGCAGTATCATTAACTACTAGAGGCCCAGTGCACAAAATTTGTGCAGGGGGGCTGTGTTCTCTTCAGTCTGGCCTGCACCCTCTCCAATCCGGGACCCCTCAGGGGATGTCCAACTGCCTCTCGCAATCCGGAACTACTGGCTCCTAACTGCTCACTTGCCTGCCCGTCTGATCTCTCCTAACCACCTCTGTCTACCTGCATGATCACTCCTAACTGCTCCCCTGCTGGCCTGATTATCCCTAACAACCTCTGCCTCACTCTGCACCTAGGGCCCAGGATTCCCTCCTCTGGCTGGTTGCAGATACCTGGAAACTGGGCTGGTTTTGCCCAGGTCAGTCGCAGCCACAGGGGATTATGGGCGGGTAGCTTGTCCCTCTCCTGGGCCGCAGCCCCAGCCTCTGGCACCTGGGACCATGAGGCATGTGGCTTGTCCCTCTTTTGGGCTGGGCCAGGCTGCAGCTGCAGGCACAGCTGCAGCTGCAGGCACAGGGACCACAGGGCGAGTGGCTTGTCCCTCTCCTGGGCTGCTGCCTGGCTGGTTCCCATTCCTCTCTCCTGAGCTCATTTGTGCCTGGCTGGTCCCTATTCCTCTCTCCCTAGTGTGTTGGTGTCTGAGCTGTTATGCCATTATGGTATGATGGTGTGAGGGCATGATGACCATTTGCATATTAGCTCTTTATTATATAGGATAGGCACTATTCTGTGCATTGCATCTCCATGACATTTATTTTATAACTGGAAATTTATACCTTTTGACTTCTTGCACCCATTTGTCAACCCCTACCCTCCATATGTGACAAACACAATTTGTTCTCTCTAGATACTAAGATATTAAATCTCTGTTATTAATTTACTTGTAAAATACCTGATAAATACATATAATACCCAATAAACACTTGTTTTCTTTAGGAACATTATTATAGAAAAGGTAAATCAAGGAAAGAAGCTTTAGAAAGTTGCTTAAAACTGGAATTGGCATAAATTTTAAAAAAGTTAAAATATATGGATTGCTTCCCTTGATTTATATTCTACTTCCTAGCAAATTATCAGCTCACTGAGAGAGATAACTAGAGTCATCTTCACTAGTTCTATTCACTGACACCATATATATATATACGTGTGTGTGTGTGTGTGTATGTTTTGTTTTTTTCAGTCTAAGTACTGTGGAGTTTACATCTTTATTGGGGAACTTTGAGGAAGTATGCACATTTCAGCAGACACTCTGCCAAGCCTTGGAAGAATGTTCAAAGTAAGTGTCACATATTGCCATAAGGATAGCTAGCAATATTGTTTTTGTTTTATTTTCCTTTTAAGTTTTGTCTTAGACAGAGGCACTTTATATGTATGCATTTAGTACAACTTATGTAAATTGTCCCAGAGCAGAGAGGATGCACCAGGTGCTGGTACAGTGTCAAATCACTAGTTGTATTTTTGTCTTTATTTTAAAATCATATAAGTTTACTGCTTCTGGTCAATATAAGAGACAAATAAGGTCTCAATTAACCATGGATGATGCCTTTGACATCAATTAGGTATTTTCTTTTGTACATTGTAAATTAGTTGAAAAAGTTATTCAGATTATTCATTCAGTTTCACAAGCTTGTTTTTTCTCTTTTAATTACTCCTGGTATCATGTCTATTTTACTAATATTTGAAAGACATGAAAAGTGGGGAAAGGAAACGTATCTTTCTATGAACCAAAACACATATTTCATGGCTAGCTAGTTTTTGTTGTTGTTGTTTTTTTAATATATTTTATTGATTTTTTACAGAGAGGAAGGGAGAGAGATAGAGAGCTAAAAACGTCAATGAGAGAGAAACATCGACCAGCTGCCTCTTGCACACCCCTACTGGGCATGTGCCTGCAACCAATGTACATGCCCTTGACTGGAATCAAACCTGGGACCTTTCAGTCCGCAGACTGACTCTCTATTGCTGAGCCAAACCGGTTTCGGCTAGCTAGATTGTTGCGGTATTCAACTTCATACTACAAAATGAACTATAATGATCATCAGGCAATATATTTCTGTAGCAGGATTAATTTTCCAAGCAGTGTATTTTGGAGAAGTTGGTGACTTTCATCATCTATAGAGAAATTGGGGTGATTACCTGTTTCTTTTTTTTAAAATTATTTATTTAATAGTAATTTATTTCTTATTTTTTTTAAAAAAATTCTTTATTGTTTAAAGTATTACATATAATATTACATATGTCTCCTTTTTTACCTCTCCCTGACCCCCCCCCCCACCTATTTATGGGACACAGATGGTTGTCTAGGGAAGGAGATGGTAAGAGCCCACACTAAAGAGATCTGAGGAGCCATTCCAAATGCTGATAAGGATACAGATTATTCATATGGAAAGACTAAAAGAGAAGAAGCAGATTACAAATTAGAGTTGTGATCTTTACTTTCCATTTTATAGAGAAACATGTAGAAGAAAGGCCAATGAACATAACAAAATTGTTATAATAGTATCTTTGAATGGTGGAATCCTGAGTACTTTCTTTCTTCCTGGTATTTGTCTGATTTTTCCATAAATGAAAGCAGATGGTTTGTTATTTAAAAAATCTTAAGGCCACCCCTGCCTAGCAAACACCAGACCACCAAGACTATGTAATACTTCTTTTTGGATTTTATTAGTTTTGTCTGTATTTGAACTTCATCTAAATTAGCCAAGAGTATTTTTAGTGTGGATAGTAAAATTTGAATATTATAATTTGAACAACCATTTTAGAAGAAAACCCTACCTTCTGGTTCCAAGTAAGTATCTGACTCTATGTATTGGCCTATGTTTAGTGACTAGAGTTAAAGCAATAGTCAAGAATTTATGTTTCATGGATAAAGTGGTTGTAATATAGTTTCTCTTTTAACTTTGGCAGAATTTGAAATGTATGCATGTTCCTGGTATAATTTGAATCATCTTCCTTTCTACTATGTTTCCTGATCTACATTGTGCTCCACCTCTTTTACCTACAGATTTCCAGAAAACCAACACAAAGTAGGAGGTTGTTTACTGAACCTCATGCCTCATTTTAAATCCATGTATTTGGCTTACTGTGCAAATCATCCTTCGGCTGTAAACGTACTCACCCAACACAGGTAAATTGTTAACATTTCCCCAAATAAACTGTTTTACAATGAGACCCTTTCCTAGTACCATTTCATTTGGAAATTAAGTTCTCTGGAAGAACTCTTAGTTATTTTCATTCATCATGCCAGGAATTGATTCAATGATACATGGATTGAGTATTTATCAATTCAACAAATAATCTACTGAGCACCTAATATGTTCAAGATCCTGTACTAGCTGGTGGGGATACAGCAGTTAACAAAGAAGAGAAGGTCCCTCTCTTTATGAAACATAGAATCTTGAGGGAAAGGCAGGCATGTAATTAAATATTGTAAACATGTTGTATACTAAAGGGTAATTAAAAGAATGCAGTGAGAATTTGCAACATGGTATCGACTTAGTATGGAGTGAGGGGAAGATTGGAGAAGGTGTTCCTCAAGTAAAATTCTATTTAGATCCAATGGGTTAGCTTTACCCTGCCCCAGTGAATGTTTTATCTGGATTGCTGGCAAGTAGCTAAACCACTTAGATTAATCAATTTCAATTTTCTATTTTCTGGTAGGGGAAGTCTTAGACAGTGTTATGGCTAAAAGGCAGCGATTAACATGGAAAAGTGGAAGGAAACTAACACTGTGAATTTTGTGGCAGTTACTTTAAGCAAAGGGCTTATAATAATCGTATACTGGTTATAAATTGTTTCTGATTCAATGGAGAGCAACAGAATAGTAGTGTCTCCTTTAAGAGTTCTTGCAAGGGACTAGAAGAAATCTTCTACCTTCCCCTACCCTCTGATTACCTATCCCTGACACATTTGCTGAGACATTTATCTGGGCCAGAGTACTGTATGATATAGATTTAAAGATGCAGTTTTAACTTTGAAATTATGTGCTAGAAATCTGGGTGGGACAGTAGCAAGAACAATACACACAGGCTCTTAGGACTTAACCTGGAGACTAGATTCATAATGGACACAAATTCTGGAGACTGCTCAGTAATGAAAAGAATATTCTTCTCTTAATCTGGCCCAAACGTGAACTCCTAGAGCAAGGCTAGAACACTAGTTGATACTGACCCTTAGAAGTGGCAGTAATTTTTGTATGTTGGGCACCTGATATACCGTGTTTCCCCAAAAATAAGACATCCTCTGAAAATAAGACCTACTTACAAGTTTCCTTCTGAATGAAATATAAGGCATCCCCCTGAAAATAAGCCCCCCCCCCCCAGGCTCTGTCTCAGAATGCGATTGCTAAACATGAGAGATTTGGTCCACTGATTCTGAAAGAAATGGAGTCACAAGAAATTCACCAGGAAATTCAGGAATTGGGTTGTTATGATGATGTTCCAGAAGATGATGACATGATTGTCATTGAATAAATGAGTAAATTCTTGATATACTGTAGGATTCACATTTTGTCTGGTTTGTGTTGACAACTACCGTACTACCGTACCGTATACAGGTAATAAATATCCTTTATTTTCATTTAACAATAAATGTGTACCGTATTCTTCTTCATGGAAAAATAAGACATCCCCTGAAAATAAGACCTAGCACATCTTTGGGAGCAAATATTAATATAAGACACTGTCTTATTTTCAGGGAAACAGGGTAGGAATCTCTTTCATGTCCCGCGTGGAAAGGGTTCCAATTCAGAGTTTGAGTTCTGGAGAAGGGCCACACATGAAATGAAAGGAGACTTGAGACTTGAAGAAATTCAACTTGGTGATATGGGGGGCCAGGTGGTAGCCCAACTCTAGTGGGAAAACTACTCCCTGCTCTGGCCCTGCCATCCCCTTTTATTGAGGCTTTGGGGAAAGCATCTTAGGCAACATAAACAGAAATTTACATGTAGCCTTTAGGCAGGAAATAAAACCAGATGGAGGCTGCTTCAGCTAACAATGTCTCAACTAAAGGGTGAGTGGTTAGAGCAATTAAGGTTGTTGTCCAGCCTTCCTGGCTTCCTGTCAACATCTCTCTTTTAGTGAAACTGATTTGTTTTCCAGCAAATTTTGTGTGTGTGTGTGTGTGTGTGTGTGTGTGTGTGTGTGTGTTTTCTGATTTCTAAGGAGCTTTATTGACTTCATAGAGCTGTTGTGTAAGGACATTTTTAATATATTTTATTGATTTTACACAGAGAGGAATTGAGAGGGACAGAGAGTTAGAAACATCGATGAGAGAGAATCATCGATCAGCTGCCTCTTGCACACACCCCACTGGGGATGTGCCTGCAACCAAGGTACATGCCCTTGACCAGAATCGAACCCGGGACCTTTCAGTCCACAGGCTGATGCTCTATCCACTGAGCCAAACTGGTCCCGGCATGTAAGGACATTTTTAATGTAGAATTTAGCAGTTTCTATTTGAAGGTACATTTTATTCTCCCTATCAAAGTTATGAATTGTTATAGAATAGTAAATATGAAAGTTGAGTTTATAGAAAGAGAAGCCATGACTGGGTTATTTAGGCAAGTGGCCCAACTGCTTAAAGCTCTGAAGCTCATTCATTTTTCTTTATTTTTTTTCTGTGTTTTTCCCCCCCAGGTTGTATTATCTCTGTCATTCTATCTTTAGGTTTATTGATTCTTTCTTATGCCAGTTGAGATATATCATTGAGAACCTCTAGTGAAAATTTAAAATTCAGTAATTGTACATTGTAACTCCAGAATTTCCATTTGGTGCTTTTAAATAATTTCTCGCTACTCTCTATTTGATAAGACACTATCATAGCTTTCTTTAATTCTTTAAGCATAGTTTCCTTTTTTCCTTAACACATTATAATTAATACTTTGAAGTTTTTATTAAATCTGACATTTTGTCACATTCACAAATCATTTCTGTTGTCTTTTCCATCCCAATCTGTGTATGGATCACACATTCCTGTTTATTTTTAAATCCACACTTGCCAAGAATTTAGCTTCATCAACTCAGAATTGAAGCTGATGAGATGTGCTAGTGAGATCTTTTATCCTTGAATTGGGATCTGAGGGGAGAGGACTGTCTTGGCCACACTTGCCTGGAATGGAGCTTGTGTCAAGATGAGCTGGAAAGAAAGGAGAATGGGAGATAGCAGGTCATGGCTCAATGCCTGAACTTTCCCTGTTCTGAGTTTCAAAATATTTTCTTGAATGTGTTTTTTCATGCATCATATGTCATTAAGACAATTTCCAGAGACTTAAAATTGTTTTTTTCTATGGTTTCCACCAGCTATGCTTGTTTCATTGGGAAACAGGTCTATGGAGCATTCCATGCCACTATACTAAAAGTAAAATTTCTTACCATTTCCTTTTAAGCTCCTTTGTGCCACTCCTTGATCTCAGTGTAATTTTTGTTTTACCATTTTAATATTGTTTCAGTTTACAATTCTGCCACCTAGAAGTTTTATTACCCAAAGTAATTTACTTACATCTAATCTGAAGTTTCCTCACTTGTAAAATGAGGATAAAACCACCTACTTTGTAGGGTTGGTATGAGGATTAAATGAAATAATGTATATGAAGTCTATAGCATAAAGCATAAGGTAGTTGTTGTTACTCCCCATTTCTACTTTATTCACCTTCTATCAGCTTCTAATTATTTTTTTTGAAAAAAAGGGATATTTCAAGTACACAAAGCATTCAGCTTAATTATAGCTGCAATTGGAGTCATGTGTATATTTTCCAATATTTCCTGCTTCCCCCTCTCTCATCAGAGGGAACCACAGTCTTGAATTTGTTTTGATCATTTCCAAGAATACATCACAACCTATCTTCAATAAAGAAAAAATGCTTTAAGGGCATTTTTCCTGTGATGGGTGCATAAACATCCTGTATGTATAAGGACAAATTTCTTAATACCAATAAAAAGAGATACCCACAGTTCTTTTTTTCCTTTTAGTCCGAGAACAGCAATTTTGGATAAATATCAGGAAGAAATGGTGTACCTCAAACAACAGCCTTTTGTAGTATTTAGAGATCTTTCTGTGGTAACTCTGTGCTAAAATGTTACTGACCGAATTTATCCATATTATGAATTTAATTTTATAAATAACAATAGAGATTTCTTCTAACTTTATGATTGAAAGATTCTCAACTTTTGGAGGAATTATTTTACGCTGTTTGTTTGATTTTTGCTTAGTGATTTTTTTTTTTTTTTAGATTTATAATATCCTTAGAAATGGAAGAAGATTCACTGGAATCTCTTAGAATTGTTTTTCATTTTTTAATTAAGGTATTATATGTGTACTAATAGAATTTAATTTTTATTTTACTGGTTTAGTTACATGTAAGAGGTGAAAATTCAATGATAATACTTGGGATTTTCCTCAGATGTGCTTCTACTATTATCTCAGCTATTTTACAAACATCTTTAATTTATGCTGGCATACTAGAGGAAAAGCATAGCTGAATAAAATTCACAGAAAATTCAGATGAAAATCCTGTGTTAGCAGAAGTTTGAAGATGAAATAAAGACATTGGTGGATTTCTGTTCCTTCCCTGACAAATTGTAAGCAGGAAAATCACTCCTAGCCTGAGCAGACCAGTCAGTTGAACTGAATCCTTTTGGCCTGCAGGTGGCAATATCATACTAGAAATGAGTGTGGCAGCTGGCAATGAGAAAGCATGCAACTTTAACACTGTATGATTACCTGTTGGTGCCTTATAAAAAAATGCAGTAATGTATCATCAGAATCTGGATATATAAGCAGACTCCAGTCGTGGTGTGTTCGCAGATTTACATATTTTGAGTAGCTGCCCCGGTCTTTTACTATCCTGTGGGTGAGGTCTTTTGGGATTTCCCCCTTTTCTCCCCTTTGGCTTGCTGTTGTAGCTCATGTTTCACTTTTAACAAAAATACCCACTTTCTTCCCATACTTCAGTGTGGTGTCCATTCTTTGAATGAGGGAGAGGGACCTGGAGTTAATAGAGAGGAGGAGAGATTTGGTGCTAAGACAGATTTGTCTCTATTGCAGCAACTACCATAAAAACCACAGTTGTATTTTTTTTTTGTACTTGTCCTCTTCTTAGTTTTATTAACTCTCTGTTATCACTGTTGTCAGCAGTGAAGACTAGGAAAAAACTCAAAGAATGGTGTCCTTGCTTTGGGGACAAGGTGCACAGGAAAAAAGCTGAGATTAAATTCTGCTCTGTTTCTGTCTTTGAGCATCCAGGGAAAGGAAAATGTGAGACTGGACACAAACAAAATATGGTGGGGACAAAAAAAAACAAAACAAAACAAACAGCAGACAGCCTAGTCTCTGGGACTGGATAAATGAAAAAGGCTAGTAGGTAACTACTCAACCCAATAGAGCGGCCTTGTTGGAATTTTCCACTGGCCAGAGGCCAGGGCTTCCCAGATCCTCATGTCTCACCTTACCTTTCCAGGTCACAGTGATTCCCATGAAAGGCTGGTATGGAGAGGAAATAAGTATCTGATCCTTTTCTAGCTGTTCTAGGTAGAGTTATCATTATTCAAAGTAGCAATCTTATGCAGAGGTTCCACATAAATACAGGTACATGATATGGTTAAGCTCTGTAGTTATATTACAATGTAAGATAGTTTTCTTGAGCTTTCAGCCCAACCCAGAACCTCATCCACCATGAATTTTATGAGATAAATATATGTGGAGTTTCAAACGAGGTTTATACATTGAGAAATGCTTCTGTTGTGTCATATCATACATATAGAACATGTTGAGCTTGACAAGAAAGTCTTAACTCACATTTCAAACAAGCTGTATAAAATTAAAACTGCATTTTAAAGACAGATTGTTCTTTGGCATAATGATATACAGGGTGAGCAGAAGTAGATTTACAGTTGTTTGTTCATATAGAAAATAATACAATAATTAATATTTTAAAAAATATATTTTATTGATTTTGTACAGAGAGGGAGAGAAATAGTTAGAAACATCGATGAGAGAGTCATCGATCAGCTGCCTCTTGCACACTCCCTACTGGGGATATGCCCGCAACCAAGGTACATGCCCTTGACCGGAATCGAAACCGGGACCTTTCAGTTCCCAAGCCAACACTCTATCCATTGAGCCAAACCGGTTTTGGCCAATAATTAATTAATATTAATACAAGAATAAACTCTGTGTGTCCTGTACTCACAACTGTAAACCTACTTTTGCCATAGCCTGTATTGATTCTTGTGTATATTAATTTGTATATTAAATTTATTTGGCTAAATGAAAATGCACATTTTATAACTTATTTATCATAAAAGACAGTTGCTTTATGAGATAGCTTTGTTCTTTTGTTGTACTAGTATAATGTTCTTTTCTTTTTTTAAATTTATTTTTCAATTAAAGTAGTAAAATATATTTTTTATTTCTAATAACCAGTGTTCTCATTATATTGAAGAATTTAAAAGCTTTTTGTAATATTTAATAAGCCTAGAAGTTAAAATATGCATGGGAAGCAATAACAGCGAACACATTACATTTGCTTTTATTTTTTGTATCACTTAGAGTAGAATGTTGAGGATATGTGCAGTTACTTAGTCATGGAAAGAAAAAAGTAAGACTTGTTTAGTAAATTGAAAAGAAATTAGGAAAGTGATTTTCTTTAAATTACATTTCTACTCAATTTATGGCAATACAGGTTAATTTATGGCAATACAGGTTAAATGCACTCTCCAAGTCCCAGTTATTTTCCTAATTTTATTTTATATTCCATGAATTTGTAAACCTCTTTGTGCACTTTATGCTTTTGGTTGGAAATTAAACATTAATTGAATTTCAATTAAAAATATAGTTTTTTAATTTTATTTATTAAAAATGTAGTTTTAAAAGATACTATTTTTAGCAAGGTATTTGCCTTGAAGTAATAATAACAATGCATCTAATGACTACTTTAAAATTTATAAAATACTTTCCTATACGGAGGCAGTGTGGTGTCTTGGAAAGACCTGAGGCTTTGACTTCACATTTGGGTATGAACCCCAACTTAGCCATGTACATGCTGTTACTCATTCTTCTTGAGACTCAAATTTCTCATTTGTAAAATGAGAATAACATCTGTGTTGAAATCTATAATAATAGAAGCATAATATGCTAATTAGGCCAGACGTCTTTCCAGACGACCTTTCCGAGGCTGCAAGGGGAGCCAGGGTCCTGGGTTCCAGAGGGAAGCCAGTGCTGGCAGCAGGGGGAAGGAAGGCTTACTCTCGCATGAATTTTGTGCATCAGGCCTCTAGTATTAAATAAGAACCAATGTATGCAAGGATCTTAGCATGAAATAGTAGCCTTACAAACCCCAAGTATTTAATCTTAATAATTGTAGTAGGAAGTAGGTTTTATTTTTATTTTACAGATGAGTCATCTGAGGCTAGGTCACTGATCTAGGGTCACCAGATCTATTGTGGTTTTGTTGTTGTTTGGCTGTTTTAATTGAAAATCCATTATTATTATTTTTAAATTTTTATTATTAAATTTACTAGGGTGACATTGGGTAATATGATCATATAGGCTTCAGGTGTAGGTTTCTATGTTACAAGATTTGTATCTTGCACTGTGTGCCCACAGAAAATCTGTTTTATGACTCCAAGTTTTGGGCACTTCTCTCCCTTCAGTTGCTTTTGGAGCAAGATTGCAAAAACTGCTAAAATAAAATTAATTATTAAATATGACCACTCAGATTCGATTTACCTTCCCTTAAGGCAGCGATTCTTAGTCCTTTCCCCCCTCTGACACACATGTGATACTCAAGGACGCTGAGACATAGCTGAAGCTCCATCCTTTTCTCTCCTGCTAAAAAGAAAACATAGAAGGAGAATGTCTGTTAATAGGGATAACCTGTAATCCACCCCATTCTCAACCCTCCTAGTATTTAATAATGATAACAAGTTTCATTGAACACATTTCACAACTTATTGCAGTGCATGACAGTTGGGGACCACTGGATAAGATGTGTCCTAGGGACAATAAGTAGTTGAGGATTTCTCTTGGTGATGAAAAAGGTTGGTGGGGCCAGTAGGAGTCTAAAAAAGTTAAGACATGATCTCATAGGCAAGCAGAGGTTCTCGAGCAGAAAAGCAACGGGATTAAAATGGTGGTATTCAGAATAGTTCAGAAGTGAAAAAGCCTAGAAGACCAGTTGGGTTATTGAAGTGAACCAGATAAGATAAGAATGCCTGAACTAAGGCCGTGGCAGTGGGAGTGGAAAGAAATAAACAGATACAAGAAGACTCAGAATATTCTTTATTCTTGTTGATGGTTTCTTTTGCTGTTAAAAAAAAAAAAGCCTTTTATTTTGATGTAGTCCCATTTGTTTATTTTCTCTTTAGCTTTCATTGCCCTAGGGGCAGTATCAATGAAGAAGTTCTTTCGGCATATGTCTGAGATTTCTCTGCCTGTGGATGCCTCTAGTATTTTTATGGTTTCCCATCTATGTTTAAGTCCTGTATCCATTTTGAGTTTATTTTTATGTATAGTGTAAGTTGATGGTCTAGTTTCATTTTTTTTTGCATGTATCTATCCAATTTTCCCTATGCATTTTTATTTATTTTTTGGATATGTATGGGCAAGCAAAGAGGTAAAGGAATCAAGTGATATACAGAAGTTTCAAAATATGCTTTAGTTAGGCAGTAGGTGTTCTTTAATTATATTTTGTGTAAATGTATATTAAAATGATCTTGCAGCCTTGGGACTCAATATCTTGTTGGTGAAGACAACCTACAGGGTGCTTAAATGGCAGAGAAAGTACAAGCTGAGACTAAATCATTTACAGGACATAGTTAATAAACTGTTAATATACTCTCCTTTAGTTTTAACCAAGTTGTTTGGATACTAGTATCAGATCCTAGGCTAAGTGACTTTATAGTTAGGCATACAAACAGGCTGCTATCTGAATTTAGTACTTGATTCTGGAACAATATAAGTGGGTGCTTCGGTAATAGGGAGCACTTGGTGAGTTGCTACGCTTGGCATCTGACCAGCCAATAGCTAGGATGTTTGAAGCAACAAGTAAATAGCTATTAAAACCTGATATCAAGGTCATCTGATAGACTGTATGCCCTATTCCCATGAATGCAATCTCCTTATAGGTAGGAATTGCTGTTTTGTTCATTGTGGTATTCCCAGCAGAGAATGGAGCCTGTTGCTTAGCAGATGCAATAATTGTTGGTTGAGTAAATGAAGCCAGGGTTCTTGAATGTCTGGCTCACCGCTGTAGCCCCAGTGCTCCGTGCAATGCTGATTGCATAAAGGAACTGAATAAAGGTTTTTTGGATTAAGTTAAAATGAAAGGGCCAGCATTTAGACTAGTGAAACAAAATTTTATTTGGTTTTATGTTATGTGAAATACATTAAATAATGTTCAGTTCCCTCCCCCCCCCCCCATGAAATATGAAGCAATAACAAATTTGTATTTGTCCTTTTGGTAGTGATGAACTGGAGCAATTTATGGAAAATCAAGGTGCATCCAGCCCAGGTATCCTCATTTTAACAACAAGCCTCAGCAAACCATTCATGAGACTGGAGAAGTATGTTACTCTTTTGCAAGAGTTGGAACGGCATATGGAGGTAAGGGAAGGTTAGCTTTTTAAAGCTCATGTATAGATTATGGGGCTCTGCTCTTGGAGGAAATTGTCAGTCTGCTTTCAAACTTAGCCTGACTGCAGAATTCAGAAAAAGCCTTAGTTTCCAAATTTTCTTGACCCAATCTCCCCTCTTTCCAGGCTTTTGGTTTTCCTTTTTGTGCAGCAAAATAAAGGGGCATTCTTTCACCCCCCCCCCCCCAGAATATTCTTTACTCTTTATGCATTTGTATTTATTTCCCCCCTGGCTTTATTGAAGTATAATTGACAAACAAAAATTGTGTATATTAGGTTATACAACATGATTTTCTTAAGGTGTATAATGTGGTGATTCATTATACACAAATCTTGTGGTATGATTACCACAATCAAGTTAATGAACACATCCATCATTTCACATAGTTACCATTTTTTTTATACTGAGAACTCTTCAGATCTACCCTCTTAGCAAAAGTATACAATACAATGTTATAAACTATAATCACCATGAACTTATGATATCCACTCTTTACTATTAAATATTCATGATCATTTTCTTTCTCCTTTCCCCCTCCCAGCCTTGGTCCTGTTGCTTCCGTCAAGTCTCTGCTAACTTGTTGACTTAGGTTTTCTTCTGCCCTCTCATCTGTAGATGGTGGTTCAATCAAAATCGTCCAGGAAATCTTCTGTTCTGGTATATGAACAACCTTATTGTGAGATACAGGCAGGAGTATTTATCTCTAGAGCTCTGTGGTCATTCAGCTGTCCGACTTTGGATTATAATGGAAGATTCTTGTATTTCCTTAAAGATTAATAAATAGGGCCAATATTGTTTATCTCTCTATGCATCCATACATCAAGATCCCCTCAAATTTTTGTTTATAAACTTACAATGAACTTGCCACAGCTGTAACATAGCCATATGTTTTCTAAACAGTAAGATTTCAATGGGGCCTGATAATTGAATTTTTATTTTTTTTTTTATTTATTGTTTTACCAAGAGCCAGGCACTCTTATTAAAAAAACAAATAACGGGATAGCTTCTTAAGCTGCTCTTGAACATGGGGTTTTGAGGTGTGGGTGGAAAAGGAGGGCCTGCTACGGGAGGCTGCACTCACCCTACTTGCTCTTCCTGTGTCTGGGGAAAGGTTTGAGGTTTTAAAGGGTTTGATTATCTCAAAAAAAAAAAAAAAAAAAAAAAAAAAAGGTTGCATACTGCTTGTCTTGTCAGCATTTGTAAGGATTGAAAACATTTACTCTGAGCAAAACCACATTCTCAGGTTATTTGAACTGCCGGAAAGCTGGAGGCAGTGGGGAACTAGTAGTAAAGCCCACTGGAATGAAATTTCAGTTAGGGCTTGGAAAGGTGCTGACCTCCGGATGTCTTTTGAGGTTTGCCCCTCCTTGCTTATCACTAAAATCCAGAAACTAGTGGCCTCAGTTTCTGTTACTGCTCAGTGCTGAACTATGAATATACACTTAATTCAGAGAGAAAAATCCCTAGATCTCCTACTGCCTGGATCCTCTATCTTGACCTTCGTTCTATTAGAGCCCACTTGGACTCCTGCCTCCATTTGCTGTCAGTTACCTGTCTTGGCTGCCTTCCATTTTCCACCATCAGATAATACACACCCTTAGCACCGACTCACCATCAGTAAGACACTTAATCCAGCTTTCTGATTGTTTAGTATGGCTGATGGCTAATGGAAGAGTAGAACCTGAACTTTACAGCTGATTTGGGTAAGGATAAATTTAAGTTGAAAAGAATACAACCTTTCCTTTCATTAAACAATGCTGGTTTGGGCTTGGGTCAGACCCCTAGTCTGTTCATCTCTCTATTTTATCACCCAAGGCTGGTCGTGCAGCAGATTGTCTTCCCACTACTCCAGCAGAATTGCAAAGGTTAGGTACATATATACCCCCAATGTTAGATACATATCTATACTTCATATAATCTCATATAGGTGTATATCTACCCGTAAGTAGCTCTACTTTTTCTACATAGACAATTATGGAGATGTGCATTTCTCAAAGCAAATTTTGAAGCTGTCCACTTTTGGGGGTTGTAAATACTGTGGAATTGCAGACTATATGTAATAACCTTGCTTAAGAAGGCATACATGGTATAAAACTTGGATACCCCCCATTTGCCAATTGAGTCTGCTGAAAGAAAAGAATAAGCATTTTAGGAGATGAGATTAGATTGATTTTTCTCTTAACCACCACTCTGTTTCCATTATTCCCTATCTATTGCCATTTACTAACAATGTGACTGATACCCCCAAACAATTATTACTTATTAACATCAAAAAAGAAAACGTTAACTTTTGCTTTTATATTTGTGGTTATCAAATATAATTATGTGTTACCAGCCATCTTCATATCTTTAAAAAAATTTAGTTTTATTTTAGAGAATGGAAGGGGAGAGGAGAGAAAGAGAGAAAGAGAGAGCATAACATTGATGTGAGAGAAAAACATCTATTGGTTGCCTCTGCCATACACCCTGACTGAGGATTGAACACACAACCTTTTAGTGTTTTGGTGTACAGACATCACTCCACCAACTGAGCCACAGTGGCAAGAGCTTAAAAATTGATTTGTTGCTCCACCCACCCATGCATTCACTGGTTGCTTCCTGCATATGCCCTGACCAGAGATCAAACCCACAACCTTGGTGCATCAGGACGATACTTTAACCAACTGAGCTGTCCTGTCAGGTTTTCATTTCTTAATCACCTAATAATTGGTGGTGTTGAGATTGCAAATGCTCAAATGTTTTTAATTTTTTAATTTTACATTAGCATACATTAAAATTGACTTTTTTCTTTTGATGTCAGTTTTATGACTTTTAACACATTCATAGATTTGTGTTACTACTGCCACTATTGAGATACAGAACAGTTCCATCATCCCCAAAATTTCTTCTTTTTATCTCTTTTCAGCCACACCTTTCTCTCACCTCTAACCCCTATAACTGCTGATCTGTTCTCTTTTAATATTGTTTTAAAATGTATTCATTTAATAGGATACACATCCAGATCATCAAGATGTTCTGAAAGCCATCGTAGCATTCAAAACACTCATGGTAGGTGATGCTCTAAAATTATATTTCTCCATTTTTTTGTGCTGTGTTTCTAAAAGAGTAATTTGTGTGTGACATTTCTTTCCTTACGAAAAGGTCTTTACAGTGGAAACAATAAGCTTCAGTGACAGTATTGCTGGGATTGATTCATTTAAACTTGTCTTCCAAAAATCATGCTTACCTAAGAAAGGTTGCCAGTCTGAGGGTATAAAGCACTCACATTTGAAGCCTCTGCCACATTAAGCATTGCTGTGTAGGTGGGGGGTTTCCTTTAGTCTTTGTCTTTACCCCTGTGTTGCTCACCTTATGTTGGTGCAACTTGTTCACTGACTGACATCAATACTAGATTCATCTACTTATGCCAAAAGGTGTGAGTCTATTCTTTGCATATGAAAAAAAATTCTTCATCAAATCTAAAAGGTAAAAAACCTACTAAAATACAATTGCTTTATATAGATTGCTATCAAATGTACCTGTAATCTTATATCTTGAGCATGATAGCTAATGACTTCTTGATACTAACTGATGTAAAACCACTTAGTGGCATTTTAGGAGGAAATAAAACATTATTTTGAGCAACTGACTAAGTTTAGCTTCAGTTGAGACATTTCTGTAGCATTCTAAGTGACTGAGATTAATGTTTAGTTATTGATTCTTGTTATAAGGTTGTGATGCAACATTCACTATCACCTCGTTTTTAATGCTTTTGAAAGATCAGTACCTGACATGTCCATGGTTAAACAGAAAATTGAAGACCAGAATAAGGAATTAGGTTAAAATTGCTGTTATGGATAAAAAAAATCTAATATTGGCAGCTTTACACAGTTCAACACATGTTGTAAAACTTGCTTTGATGGTGATACTATATTTATTTGCACTATAGATGCTTCAAAAATATATGTACAATGAATTTATTTCTTCAAGTTTCCAATTTGCTGAAAGGGACAGCATAATTTTATAGAAAACACATCCAAAAACCTGACATTCATTTGCAAACCATTACATAACTAATCATATGCTTATTTTTACATTTAATTTATAATAAATACTGTTAAGTTACTCTAAGATAATTTCACACTTTCTGAAAGAAATGGTGTGTGTGTGTGTGTGTGTGTGTGTGTGTGTGTGTGTGTGTTGTATTGTATTTATATCCCACCTATTGCTTCTTGGTTTGTATTTTTCATTTGTAATCATGAAATTCAGGTGTGCCTCTTTTTGTCCAATCCTTTTAGGATTAAAAATTTAGTATTTTTAATAGAATTTACTAGTAGTTCCTAAATACAATGTAGGGTAGTACATATGCTTTATTATAAAATTAGTTTGATTCACTGTGGCATAAAGAATTAAATTTTCTCTTTTTCTGTCATTAATTTTTATTTTTTAATATATTTTTTATTGATTTCAGAGAGGAAGGGAGAGGGAGAGATAGAAACATCAATCAATGATGAGAGAAAAATCATTGATTGGCTGCCTCCTGCACACCCTCCATTGTGGATCGAGCCCACAACCTGGGCATGTGCCCTGACTGGAAATTGAACCGTGGCCAGTAGGTTCATAGGTTGATGCTCAACCACTGAGCCATGCTAGCCATGCTAGCCATGCCTGGAGTCACTTTTTTTTTTTTTAAATTAAGATGTTAGTTGATTGGAAACTGAGCATGTATTAGAAAAATAAAATTGCTTTGTAATTAAAGCACTATTTATGCAGGTAGACAAGATTGAAAGGAGCTAGAACAAGGACATCATCCAGAAGATCTGAATATACCAATTTGTCTCCTGGCTCTGTTTGATGTGATTCTGCTACTTGTCTTCCCATACTCCTTGCAGAGAAGGAGAAACAAGCTCCTTCCTCCATTGTATCTTCATATTTTGGCAAGATGAAAAGTAGCTCTTCTTCAAAAGACTTTTGGGGACTCAAGGCTAGAAATTTAGAGTAGTGGATTTTTCCACCTGTCAAGACATCGGTGATGGGATTCATGTGAGGAATAGGAACTCAGTGGAAGTCTATGAGACTCAAAAGCCACATCTTACTTTGGTCTTGTTTTAGGTGTGTTTCATAAGAATTTCTTTTCCTCTGCTTTCCTTCTATAGGGACAGTGCCAAGATTTAAGAAAACGAAAACAGCTGGAGTTGCAGATACTTTCTGAACCTATTCAGGCATGGGAAGGGGAGGATATTAAAACATTGGGAAATGTAATTTTTATGTCACAAGTAATGCTACAGTACGGAACATGTGAGGTAAGATGTTTCAAATCTCAACACCATTCTTTACATCTTTCATATTTTTCTTCCTTTATTCTTCAATCAAGGTCAAATGCGCGAACATTCAAATAAACTGAGCACCTATTATTTGCCCAATATTGCTAGGTGCTATGGGAGAGAGGAAGACAGAACACACATTGTTCTCTGCCTTCAAAGAATTCCTTGAGAATAGATTAAAACACAAGTTGCAAGTAGAAAACAAACCAAAATAGTCAATGGCAGTTTGTGCAACCTCAACAAAAGATTCTATTGAAGTTCAGAGAAGGAAGAGAGTAAGAAGAATATATTTTATGAAGATAAGATTTGAGGAGGGCTACGTAGAGGGAAGGAGAGGATTTTATAAGGTAGATGTCATTTTTATTCCAGAAGAGAACATGAAATGGTCTTTTTTTTCTACAGCACAGTGAGGAAGCCAGTATGTTAGGAGCAGAGGTGTGTTGGACAGAGTGGAGAAGTTGATTGAGTCAGAGTCAGGTTATGAAGAACCTTGGATGTCAGACAAGAATAGTTCACATTGACATAGCAGGCAATAGGAAACTATGAGACTTTGGTAGTAGAGAAACATAATGAAAGGGATATTTAATCTGACAACCGTATATGTCAGATAAGATGGAGGGGGTGGGGCTAGAAACAGAACGTGTTGCAGAGTTGGAAAGTGATAAGTACCCCCGATGAAGGTAGTGGTGGAGAGAATGAAACTTAAGGGGCAAATCTCAGGCATGTTTAAAAGGGAGTCTATAGGAAGTTGTGACATATGGGCTAGAGGAGATAACAAATGTAATTTAGACATGTTAGCTTTCAAGTGACTGTAAGTATTCAGGTGGAAATGTCTTGTTGGTAGCTGTTAAAATAGTATAGAAATGTGGGTGGGAGATCAGAGTTAGAAGCAGAGACTTAGATGCCTTTGACAGATGGGCCTTTCAAAGAAGTAAATAACCAGAGAGAAGTACAGAGGACTGAAGATGTATTATGTCTTTTAGGAAGAGGGCAGAGTAAGGGAGGAAGGTTGATTATGTCAACTGGTATGATTTATCTGGTGTTAGAATTGCCTTCCCACTCTTAAAACATCTTCCTATGCTCCCTGACAGGTCTCTGTCAGAGATTCATTACATAGGGTTAATAAGCAATCTAATTTAAAATGTAGATACTCCTCTGGGGGAGGTATATGCAGAGAGTTTATTAGAGTTTCACATCTTTGATGAAGGAAGGAAGAATCACTGCCTGAACGAAAAGACAAAGAGGAAGATAGAGGAGGACTGGGAGAGTGTGGAGTCATGTAAATTCCAGGAAGAGAATTTGAAAATGGTCAAGCTGAGTGCTACAGAAGGTTCAGAGGTCAAGGAGCATGGAGACCAAGAAGAAGCAATTGGATTTTGCTAAAAGAAGTTATTGATTACTTTAAAAGAACAAAGCAAGTAGGTAGGGATCAATAGGGAGAACATGAAGGCAGCAAAACTCAACCCAGTTTTCCCCCTTTCTTATCTGATTAAAATTTAAAGCAGGGAAACATTATCTATTTGTAGACCAGTGAAATATAACAAGAAGTATTTTATATAAGTAGTCACAGGGGCAAGTGAAAGCTCATTATGATAAGAAATGTGCATATGTTACAAGTAAAAAGAAAAAGCTGATTAAATAGGCGAGGCTGCTGGAAGAAGGAGGTGAGATAGCTTTAGAAGGAAGCCAGGCAAGAGAAAGATGTGGAAAAATGGAAAGCCCTTTTTAGAAGAGTTAGCTTCAAAAGGTTGCTTTTTTCAAGTGGGAAGAAGGTGATGGAGATAGGTATAAGAATAATTGAAGCTAAGATGGATGGACATGTAAGCTGAATGTAATTACTTGCATCTACTAATTGCATATCTGTTTAAAGGAATTCAGAGAAATCCTGTGTAAAATTTCCTTTAGTGCCATTAAAAAGTATTTACTTCTCTTTGTGTATGCAAAAACTATCTTGTTCTTACTAATTAAAAGTAATTTTATAAATAAGAATTTAACATACATGTTAGAACATAATAAATTTCCTATAAACTGAAAACCTCTTTATTTTGCTACTTTTCAAAATAGAATTGTTTTCTTTTTTCTTTCTTTTAAAAAAATATATTTTATTGATTTTTTACAGAGAGGAAGAGAGAGGGATAGAGAGTTAGAAATATCAATGAGAGAGAATCATTGATCAGCTGCCTCTTGCACACCCCCTACTGGAGATGTGCCCGCAACCAAGGTACTGCCCTTGGTCATGCCCTTGACCAGAATCGAACCCGGGATCTTTCAGTCCACAGGCCAACACTCTATCCAATGAGCCAAACCGGTTCTGGTCATGCCCTTGACCAGAATCGAACCCGGGATCTTTCAGTCCACAGGCCAACACTCTATCCAATGAGCCAAACCGGTTTCGGCTACAATTATTTTCTTTTTGTGAACCTAGATAGTTATCTTGTGCTCTGACTGCAGCTTGGACAGGAAGGCATTGTGTGACTTCTCAAGCTTTACATACTTGGGAAACAACCAGGGTTATTTGTATTTAATTGTTATATATGGGAAGGAGAGAGACTCGGTTTATATCCATTTCAAAATAAAATTCAACTAGCTCTGTGCTTTTAAGTTGAGTATCTTTCTTTTAAATTTGTTGTTCATGTTTCATTGCCTTATGTAGGATCTATGTTACAAAATAGTGATTCCAGGGGAGATGTTTATTGATTTTAGAGAGAGGAATGGAGAGAGAGAGAGAGAGAGAGAGAGAGAGAGAGAGAGAGAGAGAGAAAGAGTAAGAAATATCTACTGAGAAACATCGATCAGTTGCCTCCCTGTACATGTACCAACTGGGGACAGAACCTAGATATGTGCCCTGACCGAGAATCAGACCCATGACCTTTTGGTGTACGGGATGATGCTCCAACTAACTGAGCCACACTGGCTAGGGCCAGAAATTCTTAATAAACAAAATGTCCAATTTCTATTCTTCATTTAATATTTTTTCATCCCACTTTAGGAAAAAGAGGAGCGGTACCTCATGTTATTTTCAAATGTCTTGATAATGTTATCTGCAAGTCCTCGGATGAGTGGCTTTATCTATCAGGTTAGTAGATTTCGTATAGAACAAATAGCAGGACCCATAATTAAAAGAAGTTTCCATCCAGGTGCAATATTTCTATTATAGTTTTAAAAGCTCCATCCAAAAAAGACAGAATGGTCTACGGCCATACCACCCTGAACGCGCCTGATCTCGTCTGATCTCAAAAAAGGCAGAATGTTCTGAATATTCATTGTAATTACGTATATAGCTTGTAAGAGCAGATGTTCCTTAGATCCTTTGTATTACTATAATGGGTTTATCCAGAAAGTCCACTGCTCTGGTTATAAATGTATAAACAGAAATATAAGTCTGCAACTAGATCAATTAGCAAAAGCATTTTACAGGTCCATATTATATCATTACTGTTAAAAAACTATAAAGCTGAAACCTCATCCTAACAGTCTCATCATATGGTTTGAATTTCTGAGATGCAAATCATTACACTCCTTAAGAAATCAAACTTCCTTCAGTCTGTTACCTAAATATGGAGTATTATAAATTGCTGTTGCCTCTTATCTTGGCCTAGCAATTACTAATTTTCACAAAATTTGTGTCTTTGTTTACTGATTTTTCATGAAAATGTGTTTGAAAAGTGAGCTCTTTATAAATCTTGACCTTATGGTTTAGGATGTGCTAGCAAAACACAACCCAGTTTTTCCTCTTAACTTATTGAAATTTAAAACAGGAAAACATTATCTATTGACAGACCAGAGAAATATATCTATCCATAATCTGGCAGTGATTTCTGAGAGGGTCAGAAATATAATAGAACTAAGCAGAGACATTTGCAACCACAGAATTAATGGGAAATGTTCTTTTTTTTCTGGTAGGGAAAAATACCAATAGCAGGAATGGTGGTGACTAGATTAGATGAAATTGAAGGGAATGACTACACATTTGAAATCACAGGTAGGTAATTTTCTCTTTTTAATGTAGCTACTTTAAATTCTTTTTGGAAAGAAGTGGAGTTTAAATAAATAAATGCTATTATTTTCTGTTATATAGTCCACGAGTAACTTTTGCATGGGCATGACAAAGTATATATCATTTCCTGGGATAATTAGGGTATAGCTATAGAACAGAGAAGTCTCCTGGTTATTCAAAAGCCTCAGCTTTGTCATTAGTTTCAATTTTCTCTTGAATAAGAGCTACTTGTTAGAGCTAAGAAATAACAAAATGGACTTAGGTTAATGCAATTTTCTCTCCTTTCTGCCATCTATTCCCTGGTGGCAGAGAAGCCCAAGATGTGGAATTTTATCAGCAATTTTATCATCAGCCTATGAATTAGCGAGATTTTATTATGTTTCTAAAAAGTGTTGAAAAGCCATAAAACTTTTTTTCACAAGTTGAGAAAATGCCTGGTTCTCTGACATTTTAGCCTGTTGTTCCTTCTGCCAGGTCAATGGTTTGTACTTTATGTACTGATATGGTGCAATGGTGAACACTGGGATAATGACCCCAGGCCTTATCCCCTTTTTTTTCCCAATAGGGAGTAAAAGATTTGATGTTAGGTGTAACTAGTCTTAGTTGGATTTTGTTTCAACTTTGAAATTGGGTAAAACTACAATATTATCACTTTAGATTATGAATTAGATGGACTCTATACTTAAATTTTTGGATTGTGAGTTTGTCTAGAGTGAAGTTTTATACTACTAAGATTCCGTAAGCAGTAGAAATCAAGGACAGATTTATAAATCAGATATAACTATTTCTTTATTATCACAAGATATATGTTCTTTTCTAAAAAAGTGTCTTTTTTCATTTTTTATTATTTGAAGGATTACAAATAGTAGTACATATGTCTCCTTTTTTACCCCCTTGACCTCCCCCAGCCTCCCCTACCTCCCCTGCCCGCATATGCCTTCACCACCCCCTTCCCCCCCATGTCTTATATCCGTTGGTTATGTTTATATGCATACATACAAGTCCTTTGATTGATTTCCTACAGCCCCCTGCCCCCAACCTCCCGTGCCTTCCCGCTATAGTTTGACAGTCTGTTCATTGCTTCTTTATCTCTACAACTATTTCCCCCCATTTCTTTTCTTTGAAAAATCTTGCAACTGCAGACTGGAAATAAACATATAATAACAAAAAACGTTTGAGTCCCAATTTCAATGTCCAAAGTTCTGAGACCCAGTTTCAATGTCAAATAGTTCCTTGTATGTACATGCCAGCAATGATATCTGGATGATGGACAGATGGTGGCAATGCAGCATATATGTTCTTTATATTGTAGTTTCAAAAGGGTTCTCCCATAGGTATAAAAACTCCTAAAAATATACACTTAATTCCAAGTTGTGTGATGTGGTTTTGAATGAGGCAAGCTCAAAGTTCTCCTTACCTTTTGTTTCCAAATGCGGGTGATGCAGGTCACATATTGGAGAGAATTGTGGTCCACTGCAGCAACAACCAGGACTTCCAGGAATGGCTGGAACAGCTGTATAGACTGATTAGAGGACCTGCCTCCTGCAGTTCATTATCCAAGACATCATCATCATCTTGTAGTGCTCATTCTGTAAGTAGTCCATTTGTTCTGTCCAGGGATTACTGAGTTGTCAAATCTTGCCTGCTGAGGACTTATAAGAAACAGTGAGCATGCCCTTAATCTTTGGGTAGTCTATATCTGTAGGTTTTGAAGTACAGTTAAACCTCACTAATTCAGATTTCTTGTTGTAGAGAGAGGTCCACCTAAATTAATACAAAGTTTTACTTAAATGTGTGCAGTTTAGTTTGACCTTAACTTGGAGTACCAACTAACTGCTAGCAATGTTTTTCTAACCAGAAGTCCTGCTAAAATATTTTAATGACAGTCAAGATTTATTTTTAGTTAGCAACTGTTGTTCTCATAATAATAATGTGCTAAGTCAAAACCAATAGTTTACCTTCATAAGTATTGAAGCATCTCCACGTAATCTCATTTATATTATCATATTCACTCAGTAGCCTTCAAGGGTAAACCCTTAGTATTGCTTTCTTCCAAGTTATCATAAATTTAGCTATTCATGGAATTTGAATTGAGATTTTACTGTACTTGCTTAGTGATACCAAAGATATACTGTTGTCTATTAACGCTCAAACCTGTGATATCAAAATTCCAGTTTGGGGAACTGTGTGTTGTGGTAGGAAGAACAAGGGCTTTGGCATAAGATCTGAGTTCAAATATTAGCTTTGCCAATTGCTGACTACTTACTTCACTTTGTTACAGTTTGTCTTATGTTTGTTCTGATGAAATGACCAATTTAAGTATCTAAACATATAATGGAACTCATTAAATTTTGACTGTTCTCCCTTATCAATGAAAAAATAATTCTGACGTTAATGAAATTGCTGAAGAGAGAGGAAGAACAGGATTATGGGATATTGAGATCATTTAGTACTTTTCCACAGAGACCTCATAATCTTGACTGGAAAGTGCAAGTTCTCAAACTGGAGATTTTTGGGTTTAGTTCCTTCCTTTCTGTGGCTGGCACTGCTGGTCCATTGACACTATTGATGTTCTCTTACTGCGGGGCATAAGGTTGGGTTTCAATGGCAGACTGCCAACATCTCATCAGATATTTTTCCAGTCTTTTAGCTCTACTGGACAGCCCCGAGGACCGTTGGAGCCTCCTCAAATTATAAAACCATGGAGTTTAAGTTGTCTACGACCTGCTCCTCCACTTAGACCATCAGCAGCACTAGGTTATAAAGAGGTAATTTTACTACATATGATATAAAATGCTTCTGACAAGCTAATTCTGTAGCTTATTACCAATGATTCTGAGGGAATGTGCTTAGAATTTATGATAGGTGAACATGGCAGTCAATCTTGAATTGCATGATTCACTGATTTTTTTATTTTGTTTTTTAAAAATATTTTTATTAATTTCAGAGGGGAACGTAGAGGGAAAGAGAGAAACATCAATGATGAGAGAGAATCATTAATTGGCTGCCTCCTACATGCCTCCTGCTGGGGATCGATACACAACCTGGGCATGTGCTCTTGACCAGAATAAAACCTGGGGCCCTTCAGTCTACAGACTGATGTGCTATTCACTGAGCCAAACCAGCTAGGGTGATTTATTTTTAGTTCTTAATTTTCATTTTCCTCATTGTTTATCTACAAATATTTATTGAATTTCCACAGGGTTTATGTGTACTGAGTTTCCCCAACTTCCTCTTGAAGTGCCTTTGGTTTTTACCTTTATGATGATATGATAATTTTTAGATTGGTGGTGACGTATACACATCTCAAACAAGAGCCACTTCATTAGAGTTGAATTTCCAACCAAGCAGACCCATTTCTGTTTTTTGGATCATTTCGATCTATTGAACCAAATCAGTAGTCTTATGGTAATAAGCCATGTGTCTGAAGTATGAAAGTCTGAACTCTTTGTTGCAGTTGAAAAAAGAAAGAATTTAACAAAAGGAATGTCTTTTTAAAAGTGTCTTCTAAGTCAACTATAAAGGACATTTGGTATTTGGGTAGTGTGATAATTTCAAGGCTTTTTTTTCTCTCGAAGTTGCAATCAGGAAATGTCAGTCACTAGCTTCCATAGCTGTGTGGAGTTTACATTTTCCATCCAAATAGTCGTTTTTTTCCTTAACCTATTGCTCATCATTTTAGCTTTTAGAAAAGATCATCATTTAAATGTAACTGTTGCTTAAAATGGTCTTAGTAAGTGAAGATTTAGGTTTATGACAGTTGTGAGAGACAGCATATATTTGTCTATCATAGGTGTTTTGATAAATGAAGACTTATCTGAATTTTGAATTTATTTTTATTTGAAACACATGCTACTGTTTCAATTGTTGCCTCAACTCTTAGTGTAGTATAAATGGAACTATATTTGGACACTGGAGAACTATTTTATTCGTTTAACCCAACATGTTAGGAAAAATAACTCTTGAGCTGAATTTTCATTATGTACCTTTTTTCAGAATTTGGCCAGAAAACAGTCCGATAGGTTTGCGTTGAAAATTGACCTGTGATACTTGCAATCATCCAATTTTTTTCTTTGATTAGCTAAACCAGGAGTACTACTTCATAGTTATGTAGGTCCCCTCTTTGATGATGGATATTTTGTAATTGTCAGTTACTAAATTCAAATTAAGGTGAGCTTTGAGGGGTAAAATTGACTTAATCCTTCACAGAACTAATCCATTAAAACTAAGGCATGATTATTTTTTCGGCTGGGAGAAGAGAGTTATTAATAAATTCTTACTAAGCACTGTGTATTTTAGTTATTTTCAACATTTGTTATTCCGCACAGAACTGTATTCCTTGGGCTTTTGCATGATGGTATTGCATCTAAAACTAATGTGGGAAACGTGATGATATTCTCTCTGTGTAATTTATGATAACACTAACATTTCAAATATTGTTTTAGAATTATTGATAAATGGATTTGGTCATTGTAACCATCGATCTCTCACGCTCATCTTCTCTTTCTTTACATATTCACTTTAGAGGATGTCTTATATCTTGAAGGTAAGGGTAGAACACTATCTTTGGCTTACAGTGACATCATATTGTGCTGTAACCTTTTATGAATGAAGCTTTCCTTTGTGCTTGTTTTGTCCCTTGTTATTATTGGTAGCTAAAATATGAAGATGCAATTCTGGCATGTAAGTATTTTCTTCAAAAAGCAGGCTCTTGTGAAATACATATGAAACTGTCATTTTATAATGCTTTAAAATGTCTGTGTTCCTGTATTTTAAAGCGATTGTTTCTGTTATTTTTGTCACATATGAGTTTTTCATGTCTGTCGTTTTATGCATATGGCAAAACAAATTCAATAATTGATATAATTTATATATTTTAAAATCTACTAATTAAAAATATAGCTTTATATATGTACTAGAGTCCCAATGCATGAAATTCGTGTGAGGGAGAGGGGGTCCCTCAGCCCGGTCTGCACCCTCTTGCAATCCGGGACCCCTTGCTCCTAACTGCCCACCTGCTCACTCCTTACCGCTTGGCTTGCTGCTCCTTAGTGCTGCTGCAAAAGTGGGAGAGGCTCCCGCCACCACTGCTGTGCTCGCCAGCCATGAGCCCAGCATCTGGCTGAGCCGCACTCCAGCTGTGGAAGCGCACTGACCACCAGTGGGCAGTTCCTGCATTGGGTGTCTGCCCCCTGGTGGTCAGTGTGCATCATAGCGACCAATCCTTCTGTTAGATTGATTTACATATTATCCTTTTATTATATAGGATATTGAGCTTGATTGTAAGAACGTTACTCCTAACCCAAAATTATCAAGAAGTCCTTCAGTTGGCTCTTCTCTCTGACCACGGGGAAATTAGTCTCTTTGTCTTAATTTTCCCATCGGACAAATAGAAATTAATATTCTTCATTGTGGGACTATTGCACAGAAAGATTTTTTTAAAACTCATTTCAAGCTCTTTGAAACGAGGTATATACTACAGTAGTAGTTATAATTTAATTACTATTTAATTCCCTTAATATTGTATCAGTGGGGAATATAAACCAAGTTAATAATACTGTATTTCTCTAGGATTGACATTCATTACTTTCTCTGCAGATGATACCCCAAAGGCATTTGGTTTCCTGGAGAATCTGCTGCATCTTTAGTAGGCACACTCCAGTCTTACTCCCATCCTTATAGCAATTGAGAGGACAATGTCATTGCCTCTGTTTACTTAACCTTTCAGAGATTATTTGAACCATTTTTTAAATTGTGCATAGTATTACATTTCGATGCACTCCTGAGACTGTCAAAATAAGAGAGAGCCATTTATTTAAATTTATTTGCTCTTTTAAATTTTTTTTGGGGAGGATAAATTTAATTCATAAAGAAAACTCTATTTTTACAGGAATCTAGTAAAAGCCCCAAAACCATGAAGAAGTTTCTTCATAAAAGAAAGACTGAAAGAAAGCCATCAGAAGAGGAGTATGTAATTCGGAAAAGTATGTGTTTTGTATTTTCTGAAAATTGGTAATGGATAAAATAACAGACAATTTTTTTTTAAAAAAAGCAGATGATTAGAGCAACCCCCTCTCCCTCCCAGCATCATCTGTTACATAACAACAAATGCATGGAAAGGTTTATTTACCAATAAAATTTTAATTTTTAATTTTTTGTTTGTTTTTCAAATATATTTTATTGATTTTTTAGAGAGGAAGGAAGAGGGAGAAAGAGTTAGAAACATCGATGAGAGTAAAACATCAATCAGCTGCCTCCTGCACACTCCCTATTGGGGATGTGCCCACAACCAAGGTACATACCCTTGACCGGAATTGAACCTGGGACCCCGACACTCTATCCACTGAGCCAAACCGGTTTCAGCGACCACCACATTTTTTAAATAAGTTGTCTCCTGCTGCACTTCTTGTCATCGGAGGCAGACACCATCTATACGGTTTTCATGCTGAATATTTTGCCCACCAGGTTTAGAACCATTAAAATGAGCATTTGCACTGGATACATTTTTCCCTCTTAGTTTCTTACCAGGGGTGACAAAACTGTGTGAATTAGTTGAAAATATAATCTGGATAAAATGTTAACTCTAGCTTCTGCATTCCCCTCCTTCACTGTCACCACACACTTGGGTATGCACATCAGCATATTAACAGGGTTTTGCCATCTAGTCATGTCAAGAATGAGTTGTAAGAGGAGGAAGGAAGAGGGAGAATCAGTGACTATGCTGGTTGGTTGGGAAAATGTCTAGGCCTAAGGGAGATAGCTTCCTAGAGAAGTGTGCCTTGGAATTTGAAAGAGAGGAAGGATGCATTGTATTGGATGAGAGCTAAGGCTGGTCTCAAGCCCAGTGCTGTAACTGTGGTCTTGAAGAAGAGACTGACAGGACTCCCCAGTTTAGAGATCTGGATGGGCTTCAGGAGCATGCCACCCTTGGTGCTGAACTCACTGACGCTGGTCCCAGTTCTCCTTGGGAATAGTGTCACTCTCATTCCATTATGAGAATTGAATAAGCTTTTGCTCCTGTATTTCTGAAACACCACTGGTCAGAGAGGCAAGTCCATAGCAGTGGAGTTCACTACATAATTTTGAGGCTCCCGAGGCATATATCACTATGAAGAGTAATTATGAATTACATTTGACAGGTACCGCAGCTCTGGAAGAGGACGCTCAGATTCTGAAAGTGATTGAAGCCTACTGTACCAGCACAAATATTCAACAAGGACATGGCTCAAGTAGGTTCCCCCAAACCACCATTTCTTTTTCACTGCTCATTGCCTCTTAAAAGAAGAGAAAAGCAACCCACATTGGTGCAGGGTATTTAAAGCAGGTGACTGGGTGCAGAGAAGCAGTGCAGAGAGGAGCGGTATAGGACTGCATCTTTCAGATAAGGTGGTTTTACCTACCAAGCGGTTTGTTTACCCAGTTTCTTTTCACCCAGAGAGAAAGAGAGATGCAAGAGTAAAAAATTGGAGGTGATAGAAATGAAAATTTTTTTTAAAAAAGTCATTCTCCTTTGAAGTACACAAATACCTTCATCAACACTAGTTAGGAATTAAAGAGCCCAGAGAGTTCCTGTGTCTGTGAACTGATGCTAATCTCTTCTTATAGGCAGATTTGGAAAGGAAGTCAAAATACTATCTTTGATCAGCTGCATATTTAAGCAGACAGAGCTTCACCAAACTCAAGTTTCAAAGTTGCTCTAAAAATCTGGAAATAGAGCTGCTTAGCAGGGGGCTGTTGGAATGTATACAATTTATCAGGGAATTATTAGGTGAGGATAATTCCTTGAACAACTTTCAGGTTACAAAATGAAAGCAAGATAATGTTTTCTGATTCATCTTTGTGCTTTTTAAAAAGCCAGGTCACATTAATCATGTCTCAGGATAGGTTATAATGGGATTTGGTATCTGGGTAAGAAATGAATTCCCCATCATGCTCCATTTTGGGCAGCCATTGACACATCTCAAGTGTGGGAGGGGATCACTTAGGTGGACTGCCTTGACATATGCTTTTGCAGTGACTGTCTCTAAGACTGTCATAAGGAAAATGTTCAATGTGGAAGTTGGCATATTTGACCATGAAGAGGGGACTGTCACAACTTCTGCTTCACAGGCAAAACCTGGCTGTGGCTTTGGGCATACCAAGCTCTGCTAACAGGTTTTGAAGAGCCAGAAATGGGAAGTGAGAGCAGTTTTTATTGTGAAAAGTAGAAATGGGTAGGGTACAAGGAGACACCAGAAGTAACATCCTTCATACAAAATCTAACCTCATCTCCTCTTCCCACCACCTCTCTTCACATCAAGTTGATAGACATATTTGGAGTTGCGGGCAGGCGCTCTGACTAAAAGAATCACAATTTGCCCCTCCGTAGCCTACCTTTTACATGTGGAAAGTGTATAGTGCAGTTCTTAGCACATAATAAGCCTTTTAGCATCATGGTGACTACTACCCTTTATCTCTCTCTGGCATGTTTCTCTAAAATTGATTGTTATTATTTCTTGCTGTATTCGGTCTGTTGGTTGGTCAGTCTGCTATTCCATTTATTAAGTATCTATGAAGTACTATGAGGTAGAAACTTATCCACTTCAGGAAAGGGGAGGTGGTCAAGTGAAGGCAGTGAATGTTCAGTTCACTACACGAATAGAAGATAGGAAACCAGTGGCTCAGGACACTCAAGATTAAGGGCTTGAGCTTCAGGAGGAAGGACCCAGAAATAAGGGGGAGATTGGATGTGCAAGAGAGCTGTTTGCTTAGGTCCTATGTCTGTTCTGCCACCTCTTCTATCCCAAATCTTATAGACAGTCTGAGCAGAAAGAAGGATGCCTGCATCTTTGCTGCTGAAATGATAATCTTCCAACTCTGGCTCTACCCTTGATCAAAAAATGGTCTTTCCTGACCCTACCCTACTTTATAGGACTTCAAAGAGAAGAAATGGGAGTGACTGATATTTCTGATGTCCTATAAGCATGTTGTGTTATTTCTAAATTTACTCAAATTATATAATGCCATAGTGTAAGATGTGGTGTGCTGTTCTCTGGAGATGTGCACAGACAAATGATCACTGGTCAAATTTTTGCTGTGGAAGAGGCAAAACAGGAAAAGATGGGGTCGTGAATACAGGTATCACAGTGGCCCTTTCACATAATTTTTCGGACTACAAAATTCTCTCCTTCCCAAGATTTAATAAATATATTTGGTCATTTAGAATTTTCTCAGGTCAGGAAGATTTAGTCATTAATATTGGGTGCAATATGGGTGCAAGGTTATAACATGCTTTAATAAAGACCCTTCAATAACAATAGGCAAAAGGAACTGACACTTCAAAATAGTTCTCACTAAGAACTCTTCCCTCTCCACCTTCTTGCAACCCTTAATTGTAGGTTCTCGCAAAGATTCAGTCCCACAAGTCTTACTTCCCGAGGAAGAAAAACTCATCATTGAAGAAACCAGAAGCAACGGTCAGACCATCATCGAAGAAAAGTGAGTAGAGTAGACCAAACCTTTTCTGATTTGTCTAGGGGCTGGAAAGACGGTTCTGGCAGGGCAATATGTCTCTTGTAAAGCCTACACTGAAGGACTGTCCCTACTTGTCTGAGACTGTGACCCTCTTTGCTGATCATGCAGTTGGGAGCCTTGGGAGGGTTGTCTCCCAGCAAAGGGAAGGGGGAAGGAGAGACACATGTGCAGAATTCTCTTCATGGTGGCTGTCCCTGGAGCCTTCTCCCCCATATAGTAAGGTGCTTCAGGATACATATAAATATCACTCTACATGGATGTAGGAGGCACCTGAGAAGGCCATGGCATCAATTTCCCTGCCTAGAGGGATGCTTCTCACATTTGTTGAGTCTAGCACTGGACTTTCACCAACATGACCTCATTTAAAATCCTATAGCAATCAATGAGATGAGCATTTTTTCTCCACTTTTACAGATGAGGAAATTGAGGTTCAGGGTGATTATTTCCCTGGCCTACCTTTGCACAGCAGTGGGGGAAAATCAGCTTAAATGACTGATGGCTCATAAAATAAACACAAAGTAGCAAAATAATTCGTTTGTTTAAACTTGAGTCATTTCTGAAATCAAGCCAAAATTTGCAGCAGACAGCATATTTCAAAGTGCTGGGTGTCATCAGTATACAACACTTTTCCATCTGGTGTACAGGGTGAATCGGCCAAGTGGTAAAGCACTTGGGCTTATGAAAAGAACAACCCTGGTTCAACTCCAAATTCTACTACTTGCTTGCTGTGTGACCTGGGCAAGTTCCTTCATCTATCTGTGCCTCAGCTTCCTCATCTTTAAAATGGGTATGGTAGTAAGATACTTTCCAGGTTGTTGTGAGCTTAATTGGAATAATAAGTGTGTATAATAAATGCAAATGGTAATCACTCAATATAAATGATTATACTATAATAATGTTATTTAAATTTTTATAAATTATTACAGCTGACATTCAATATTATATTAGTTTCATGAGTATAGCATAATGGTTAGATGTATATAATTTATGAAATGATTCTCAATAAGTCTAGTACCCACCTGGCACCACAATAGTTATTACAATATGATTGACTATATTCCCTATGCTGTGCTTTACGGAATATAAAAATTCAATTTTTTGTACCTGCCAATTTGTGCTTCTTAATCTTTTCACCTTTTTCACCCAGCCCCCAACATCCCTTCTATCTATCAACCATAAGTTTATTCTTTGTATTTGTGAATTTGTTTCTATTTTGTTTGTTTATTTTGTATTTTATATATAATTGAAATTATATGGTATTTCTCTTTATCTGACTTATTTCATTTAGCATAATACCCTATAAGTCCATCTATGTTGTCACAAATGATAAGATTTTATTTGTTTTATGGCCAAGTAATATTTCATTGTTTATGTACCACTTCTTTATTCAGTCGTCTATTGATGGATACTTAGGTTGCTTCCATGCCTTGGCTATTTTAAATAATGCTTCTGTGAGATTAGAAATGCATATCTCCTTTCATAATAGTGTTTTGGATTTCTTTAGATAAATACCCAGAAGTGGGATTGCTGAGCCATATGGTAGTTCTAGTTTTAATTTTTCAAAGAAACTCCACACTGTTTTCCATACTGGTTGTACCAATTTGCAATCCCATCAACACTTGTTTATTGACTTATTGGTGATAGCCCTTCTGACAGGTGTGAGGTGATATCTCATAATGTTTTTTAAATTTAATTTTTTAATTCTAGTTTATATTCAATATTATTTACTGTTAGTTTCAGGTATATCTCATTGTGGTTTTAATTTGTATTTCTCTGGTGATTAGTGACATTCAGCATCTTTTCATATATCTATTGGCCATTTGTATGCTGCCTTTGGAGAAATGTCTATTCATGTCCTCTGCTCATTTTTTAATTGGTTTGTTAGTTTTTTTGGTGTTGTCATATGAGTTATTTATAGTTTGAGTATGTCAACTGATGGTTGTTGGCATCAATTCAACACCAACAGGAATTTCCAACTTGAGGTACAATGAAGAAGGAAACTTTATTCAGTGCAAACAGATCAAATGTGTTGTAGTTCAGTTATGAAGCAGCACAGCTGTAAAACAGCCCAGCTGTGAAGCAGTAGGGTAAGCCAGCAATGGGGCCAGGCAGCCTGGAGCCAAGCCTCTCTCCAGATAGACAGTTGTGCTCTGCTCCAGTAAGACATCTTTTATGTTTCATCTTTGGTGGAAAGGGAAAGTGCACTCTCTGAGCCAGAGGGGAGCTGATTCATATAGACAGAAGTCCCTGCCTCTGGTCCCTGATTGGTTTGTCCTCATGCAAATGAGGACTCCAAATCGTCACAGTTTGGTTGGTCTAAAAGGCACTATTCTGGTTGGTCAGAATGGAGACACACTGTTTTTTTGTTTCTTTTAGTGAAGATACTGATGGAAATATAGCTGCATAACTCCTATTATAGGGGGAAAGCCTCAGTCCTATTGGTTGAAATAGGATTCCAGGAACTACTTCATAAAGACTGGCTCAGATTGAAGAAACACCATTAAGGAAGGCAGTTCAATGCAGAAGCAGACAACTTACTTAGTGCAGGTTTCTCCCTGAAGTGCATTTGTGTGAAACACACCTTATATAGAAATTAGAGGCCCAGAACACAAATTTGTACATGGGTGGAGTCAGGCCAGCCCGGCCCCAATCAGGGTAGATCAGGGATGGGCCTATCAGGAGGAAATGGTGGGAGGTTGGCCAGCATGTCCCACCCCTGATTTGGGTTGGAGGGGCCAATGCAGATGGGGAGGGGCTGTGGGTGGTGGGCCGAGGCCCCACCCCCAATTGTGGGGGGCAATCAGGGGTAGAGCTGGCTGGGGGAGGGACTGTGGGCTGATCAGGGTGGCTGATTGAGGATAGGGCTGGCCATGGGGAAAGGCTGTGGGTGGTGGGCCAGATGGTCCTATCCCAGAATAGGGTGGGGGGCTGGTCAGAGGCCAATAGAATAGCCTGAGGGAGGGGCCATGGGTGGTTAGCTGGCCAGCCCTGCCCTTGATCAGAGTGGGGAGACCTATTGAAGGTGGAGCTGGCTGGGAAGGGGCCACAGGTGGTTGGTTGGCCAGCCCTGCCCCAGATCAGGGTGTGGGGGCCGATGAGGGCTGGGGCCCGGTGAAGGAGGGGCTGCAAGAGGTTGGCCAGCCAGCCCTGCCCCCTATTAAAATAGGGGGGGGGGGGGACAATCAGGAGTGGGGCCTGTTGGAGGGAGGGGTTTGGAGGGTTGCCTAACCAGTCCCACCCCAAGATCTGGCTGGTTCGCTCGCTACAGTGCGCATAATAGTGAATGGTCATTCTGGTCATTCCAGTCTTTCTGCCAGTTGGATTCTGGAATTTTATATATATAGACTAGAGGCCCGATGCATGAAATTTGTGCCTGCACCCTCTCCAATCGATGATTCCTCTCGTAATACAGGATCGCTGGCTCTTAACTGCTCACTTGCCTGCCTTCCTGATCACCCGTAACTGCCCTCCTTGCCAGCCTGGTCGTCCCTAACTGACCTCCCCTGCAATCCTGGTCACCCCCAACTGCCCTCTCTGCCAGCCTAGTTGCTCCTTACTACCCCTTTGTCGGCTTGGTCACCCCCAATTGTCCCCCTGCCAGCCTGGCCCCTCCTGCCCTGGCCTCCCATCCCCTGACTGACAGCAGCCCCACTCTTTTTTTTTTTTTTTTTTTTTTTTGTGTGTGTGTGTGTGTGTGTGTGTGTAGATCTTTTTTTAATTTTATTATTTTTTAAAATAAATTTTTATTGTTCATATTATTACAAATGTTCCTTCCCCCCCCCTGCCTACCATTGCTCTCCTCCACCAGCTTCCCAACCCACCCTCTGCCCTTTCCCCACTCCCCATTGTCCTCATCCATAGGTGCACAGTTTATGTTCAGTCTCTTCCCACACCCCCCTCTCCCCTTTTCCCCAAGAATCATCAGTTCACTCCCCTTCCATAACTCTGATTCTATTATATTCAACAGTTAATATTGTTCATCAGATTTTTTTTAATTCCCTTGGTTTTTAGATTCACTTGTTGATAGTTACGTACTTGTTGTTCATAATTTTTATCTTTATTTACTTTCTCTTCTGAAAGAACCCCCTTTAGCAATTCATATAATTCTGGTTTGGTGGTGATGAACTCCTTTAGCCTTTTTTTTTATTTATTAGTGAGCTCTTTATCTGGCCTTCGATTCTGAGTGATAGCTTTGCTGGTAGATTATTTTTGGCTGTAGGTTCTTGCTATTCATCACTTTGAATATTTCTTGCCATTGCCGTTTGGCCTGCATGGTTTCTGTTGAGAAATCAGCTGACAATCGTATGGGTGCTCCTTTATAGGTAACTACCTGCTTTGCTCTTGCTGCTTTTAATATTCTCTCTTTTGTCTTTTGCTCTTGGAATTTTAATTATGTGTCTTGGTGTGGTCCTCTTTGGATTCCTTTTGTTTGGAGTTCTGTGCGCTTCCTGAACTTGTAAGTCTAATTCTTTCCCCAGGTGGGGGAAGTTTTCTGTCACTATTTCTTTCAATATGTTTGCGATATCTTGCTCTCTCTCATCTTCTGGGACCCCCATAATTCTGATGTTGGTTCGCTTGAAGTTGTCCCAGAGGTTTCTTGCATTATCTTCAATTTTCTGGATTCTCTTGTCTTCTTGCTTCTGTGGAGGAGTGTCTTCTGGCTCTTTATGTTCCAACTCTTTGACTTGATTCTTGCGATCTTCCATTCTGTTTTTAGGACTCTGTATAATATTTTTTATTTCAGTCAATGTATTTTTTATTTCTTGTTGATCCCTTATCATTTTTTGTTGATCCCTTATCATTTCTTGTTGATTCTTTATCATTTTTTGTTGATTCCTTATTAATTCTAGTTGCTCCCTTTTCATATCCTCGTAGATCTTATTCATCTATTCTAGGAAATTCTTGAAAAACCTGATAAGCGTAGATTTGAACTCTATATCCAGTCGCTTTTTGTCCTCCATTTCTTTCGTTTTTGATCTATTTCATCTCGGCATTTTTGCAGCTTTCCTGAGTTGGTAGCCTTAAAAGTCTCTGTGTTCTGCTTGGATGGGGCGGGGTTTCAGGATGGAGCCTGCAGTTTTGGCTTCCGTCAGCCCTGCCCTATGCGGGTCCTTCAGTACTAGTTGCAAGTGCCTCTGAGAGAAAGGTGCCCTCGATTTTCGCCTGCTGCAAAACAGTCTATGCTCTCCTCCAATGAGCCCGGTATTGGGGTTCAATTCAGTTGGAAGTGGAGTTGGAGGTGGCGTTCAGAGCAGTCCAGAGCCCCAGTCTCCTTCCCGCCAGGGCAATCCCGTGGCACAGCCAACCATCCCTTCTCTGTAATCAATGTGCATGCCGCCAGAACCTCCTTTCACCGCTCCCCCGGGGTTCCGCCTCGCAGCCCAGCTCCCTCTGTGTGAGCCTGGGTCCCCGGGGTCTGGCCTAGAACTGGGGTTCAAAGCAGTCAGAACTGAGGCCCAGCACAGTCGGAGTTTTATCTCCTTCCCACTTGGGAATGCCAGGCAGACACTCAGCCTCCCTCCTCTCCGGCTCCGTCCTCTCCACGTGCCGCGCGTCTCCGTACCTTGGGCTTTTACAGCTCCTCACGCTTCCTTCTGGTTTTCTCCTTTCTTCTCATTGTAGAATTTCCAGTCGACTTTCCTGTAGTTCTGGGTAATGTCCATTTTATATTTTAGCTGTATTTTATTGAAATTGTTGTGTGCGGCTGTGGCTAGGTGTTTACCTGTCAGCCATCTTGGAACGACTCAGCAGCAGCCCCACTCTTGCTGCCACTGGTTCCACACACTGATGGCACCAGTCCTACTCGCACCCACTGAAGGCACAGAGAAATTGGAGCCAGTGCTGGCAGTGGGTGCGAGTGGGGCCAATGCTGTCAGTGGGTACGAGTGGTGGCTGCTGCCCTGATTGCCCCTCAAGAGCAGAGAGAGGTGGAGAATCCCTCAGGGATAATTGGGGCTGGCAACCACTGCTTGCATCCGCTGATGGTGCTGAGTAATTGGGGCCAGCAACAGCAGCAAGTGTGAGCAGCAGCTCTGGCACCAGCAGAGGGTGTGAGCAGGGCCAGCAGCAGCAGCAGGTGCAAGCGGCAACTTTTGGCCCTGATCACCCCTCCAGAGCAGAAGGAGGTAGAGAAGCACTGAGGGGTGATCAAGGCCAATAACTGTCACTTGCACTTGCTAATGGTGCTGAGATTGGTGCCGGTGCCAGCAGCAATGAGAGTGGTGGCTTCAGCACTGGCAGTGGGTTCATCTGATACCCACTCACCTGTTCTACCATCCTGTCATGGCAGACACCCGCCATGTTCCATGCATGCACCCTGGTGGTCAGCACATGTAATAGCAACTGGTTGTTCGGTTGTTTCACCGTTCAGTCTATTTGCACGGTAGGGTTTTATATAGGTAGATGAAATCTAGAAATAATGCTTCTGCTTTTGTGTCTTGTAGGTTCGTGTTGGGTCAGATAGGTAACAAAAACAATGTTATAACACAGATATGTAGGATTGGTAGGGCCCTGTGATACTTAGTATATGTTAGGTGATGTTTATTTTTGCGCCCAAAGAGAAATAAAAATCCTGATGATAATCCCTAGGTTCTTTTTTTGTAAATACTCAAGCTGGGAAGTGAGTGGCAAAGGAGGAGAGAAGCATAGGAAAGGTGCAATGACATGGAGTTTGCATGAGCATGTGTGGTGATGGTGGTTAGCCCATAACAATGAGGAACACAAGGACAATTAATAGCAGTATCTTCTCCGATCAGGTAGAAAATCCACTGTTTTTCAGAATCTGTATTTCTATAAAGCTGCTTTTCTTGTTAAATATTACTTAACAATACAGGGCCAGCTATTAATCTCTGAACTTTATGTTCTAGGAGCCTCGTTGACACTGTTTATGCCTTGAAGGATGAGGTGAAAGAACTGAAACAGGTAATGAAATATAAGTCTTTTTCCTCAGATCATAACTCCGTCTTCCTTGTCACACACTAGTTGATGCTCTCAGGAAAGGTCCAGGAACAAAATGGTGAGGTGGGAATTTCTATTTTCCTTGTGTCATCATGGTGGGTTTTGTTGATTTTACCATGTGGTCTTGGGTAGAAACTCCTGAGGCTTGCTTCTATACCTATTTAGTGATTTACAATAGGGTTCAAAACTTACTTAAAATTTTCATGCTTCCTGATATTTGTTAACAGAATTTAAGAAAAGATAAGTAATTTGTGAGCATGTAATCGGAATTATAAATCATAATTTGTGAGCTCCAGTGCAGATGTGATCCAGTGCTCCATGATGTTCACACTTCCTTATGTTGGAGGATTGACTATACCTCGTGACAGGTTAAAGGATGGATTGAAAGGAAGAAGGACCAGACTCTGAAAGATCAATTAGGGCTTATTACAAAACTCAGGGTGAGACATGAAGTTCTGACCTGAGGTCGTGCTACCGAGGCTACAGTGGAGGAAAACAAATGTAAAGGAAAGCACATTGCAAAGTTAGAGCCTGTGGAAAATGATGGTGTGATTTTGGGATTCAAAAAGAGCCAGGGATTGAAGATGAAGCTTATTACCTTGGTATCTAGTTTGATATGGTGATTCTCTTTATGGAGATCAGCAACCACAAAAGGAAGAGAAGTTTGGGGTGATGGAGATAGAGTTCACTTTAGGACATAATGAGTTTGAGGGTCTTGAAACATATCTAGGGGAAATACCAAGTTGGCATTGGGGACTGTGGACCTAGTGCTTATGATATAAGATGAAATAAGTACCAGAGAGATTTTGGAGGCCTCTTAAAAGATACTTGAGTTGAAAGAAAATAGACACCAAGTGAAAAGAGTATTGAATTAGCAGAGTGCCAGGGACAGAGTCTTAGAGAATGCTTGTATTTCAAGGAAGAAGAATGCAAAAGGTTTGTCAGAGAGAGAGCTAGAGAATCAAGAAGCTGCCTTGTGTTAGAAGCTGAGAGAAAGGATTTTGAGGAAGAAAAGTGTAGTCAGTGGTGAAGGCCACCAAGAGGATGAGCAGGAGGAGCCCTGAGGAGGGGTCCCTTTGTTTAGTAATAAAAGTCTTTTCCCATAATAGGAGAATAAAAGAATGAAGCAATGCCTGGAAGAAGAATTGAAATCAAGAAGGGATCTAGAAAAGCTGGTTCGGAGGCTGTTGAAGCAAACTGATGAGTGTATTCGGGCTGACTCCAGTAACAAGACCTCCATTCTTCCATAACCATCACTGTGTACCTGGGCAGAGTGTGCCTTCAGTGCATCTTGAAATGTCCATCTGAATGATTTGGCTCAGTTTGCTCACATCCTTGGTTTTTATTTTGTATTTGAGCCAGCCCCTTTTTCTCTCTCTCTTTTTTGTTTGTTTGTTTGTTTGTTTGTTATTGGTTGGTTGGTTACATTTTTCCAGACAGGGATAAAAGCAAGAGGTGGTGGTAGAAGTCTCCCCAGTGTCATTTCTATTCAATAACAAAAGGAAAGCTAATGTAGGCAAATGACTTAATTGATCTACTGATGGCCTTGAAGTGCCTCTTTAACAACCATTAATTATCCTTTGGGGGCTGGCTACTATCACAAAGCTACTAGCCATGGATTATTAAAGGTGAATTTGACTTTCCCCCCAATGCTTTCCTGTACCTGGAAGCCCCTCAGTACCAAATTTACTGACAACAAAGCTTTTTGAGTTATGACTAGAGTGAAAGACAAACACATTAGCCTAATGATCCAGCTGCCTTTCCTGGACCATCATTTACCACCCCTCAATGCATTTTTTTTATTACTACCTGATGTTGTCTATAAGACCAAGAAGACAGTTGCACCCTATTTCTTTTGTGTTGGTTAACATTTTAACTCTGTGGATCAAAAGCTCTATGGGGCATTCATGCCAACACCAAATCCATTAGCAAATTGCACTGGACAGTCCTCCCTTCAGCAGTGAAGTTGACCACCACCTCTTCTCCAATACATAATAGAATTTTTCCCTACCCTTATGCCTCATTGTAAGTTTTGTATTTCCTCAGTGCTTTAAGACAACCATACCAAGTGGTGTGTAAAGTAGTATGCTTGTACTTTGCTTACCTTTAAAAAATATCGACTGTGAGCAGGTATCTACATTGCATATTAAAATTGCAACTTCTCATCTTTAAACAATTTGCCATTGAGGAGATATTGTATCCCAGCAGACAGCTTTAATTCACATTATTGCTCTCCCATATATGTTATGAGAAACTTAATATTGATCAGCCTCTAAGCATTGTTTGTAGAAATGTGCTGTTAGTCCAATTTGTGTATTCGAGGGGGGCGGGAAGTGCCCTCTAGTAGCTGTGTGTTGGTTACTAGTGAAGCAGATTATTTGGAACCTGTTTCCTCGAGTTTCTCTTGGAATCAAACAATTGCCTTAGTAAGTATCTCAGAAATTAGATCTGTGACATACCAGATTTAGAAGATGGTCACAGAAGAGTAGCATATATCCAAATTACTCCTAATTGAAAATCACTTCTCCCAAGGAGGTGAAATTTGGTCAGGTGGGGAAGATCACTAGAAAAAGAGGCAAAGGGATGTCTTCCAGATACATTTGAAAGGTGCCTATAAATATGGATTTTGCAAATATTGTTTAAAAACCAAACTTGAAGTTTGAACTTCTCAGCTTGCTAAACACTTTTTCTTTCTAGTACTGTAGGTATCAAGTTCTGATAGCTGCATGGTATGGGACTGTTGACTGCTTTCTGCACAGCAGAAATTAACCATTCACAGGATATAGACTATTCCTGTTGTCAAAAATCAGCCAACCACACACAGCTATCTTTGGAAGCTGAAGAGTGAAGATGTCTAAGAATTGACTGTTGTTCCGTTTTTAAGTACAGCAGTTTAGATATGCCACCCTTCACCAAAAATTAAAAACAACACAGATCTTAGCATTTGCTCTGTTGGTGGTTAGTCAATGGCTTGCAATAAGTGTGCAAACTATATCCATAGGAAACATTTTTGTGATTACAAAATATTTTAGCTGATAAGGTATAGCTTAAAATATTGAAAGGTTTTTATTTTAGAGTGACATATATAAATGCATGTTTTGGGGACTTGGCCCTTCTGATGAGAGGCCCTCAATTGTCTGGATAATGAAGCTTGTGCAGAGTGGTGTCCATGCTCACACACTAAACAATAATATAAAGGAAATGAAGCCATGTTAACCTGAGAGCAGTATCTCCATAGTTGTGTTGTTTACAATACTCTATAAATGGGTTCCTGTTACCCTGTAATTAAACTGTTTTCCTTGGAGGCCTTTCAGTTCCTCTTGTCATGTCCCTTCTTACACAGGCTCAGATTTTCTAACTTGTTTTTATTTTGAACTTTTAAAATTGACATTTTCAATAAATAAGAATAACAATGCTTTATAAAATAAGTGCTGTGTTTTATCAATTTTATTCATTCATTCATTTATTTATTTAGCTCGCTGGTGTGCAGAAAAATTTCTCATGCTATGTCAACTTTATTTCCTATTTCATTATCATCAGGCCCTCCCAGGGCATATGATATTTGCTTCCCACTTTATACAAATAATGAATGCCTTGAGACAGAATCTTCCTTAACTTCACCCTCTCCTTTTGGCCTGAAGCTATAAACTGTCTATTTTTTACCATTTGCATTCCAATACTAGAAAAATATCCATTTTCTTTATCAAGCTTATTCCTTGATCTTTAGTCTTATCCCTATCCCTCTTTGTATTTTGGAGGATTTTACCAATCAGTGATATCGTATATTTTGATCATAGTTGGAATGTTGGTATCAAGAGTCAGGAAGGATATATTTATCTAAAGATAGATGCTTTGGATATTATGTTTCTACTCAGCATCCATTTAACCATTTTATGTCACTTGCCCCCAAGGTTAAAAAAAATACACACCCCAGACTCCCCTGGAGCTAGGATTCTGAATACAATGTGGGTTCTGATCAACATTTTCAGTTCTGGCAATGAGATGCTTTTGCACAATATTTGGAAGCCTTCAGTTAAGCAGGGGATATCTTCCTAGGGCTTACTGGCTGGCAGACAGTTGCAAGGATATGTTCGTGGCTTATGTACTCTACATTCCAGTGTGTGTATCCACAGTTTTTGGGTAAGGAACCAATGGCAGCAGTGCTGATGACAGAAGTGGAAGCAGCTTCTTAAACTAAATTTGGATCACAACTACAATGGTATGACCGCAAAGCCGTTAATCTAAAGGCAGGCCCCTGACTTCTACTTCTATAGCCAATAGTTTTGTAGACACCTCATATTACTTTTCTGCTTGAGATATCTTTAAAAAATATATATATATTTTATTGATTTTTTTGCCTCCCTCCCTCCCTCCCTCCCATACATACCCTCCCTCCCCAGAGTTTTATGTCCATTGGTTGTACTTAATGCATGTATACAAGTCCTTCGGTTGATCTATTATCTCCCCCAGATCTTCCTCCCCTCCCCACTGTAATTTGACAGTCTGCTAGTTGCTTTACTGTCTCTATATCTTTTGATTCATCAGTTTATAATGTTCTTTATTATCCATAAATGAGTGAGGTCATGTGGTCATATTTATCTAAAGATAGATGCTTTGGATATTATGTTTCTACTCAGCATCCATTTAACCTTTTAAATGAATTTCATTGATTGGCTTATTTCACTCAGCATGATGTTCTCCAATTCCATCCAGGTTGCTGCAAATGATGAGAATTCCTTCTTTTTTATGGCAGCATAGTATTCCATTGTGTAGATGTACCATAGTTTTGGGATCCAATCGTCTGCTGACAGGCACATAGGCTGTTTCCAAATTCTGGCTATTGTAGATTGTGCTGCTATGAACATAGGGGTGCATATATCCTTTCTGATTGGTGTTTCTAGTTTCTTGGGATATATTCCTAGAAGTGGGATTACTGGGTCAAATGGGAGTTCCATTTTCAGTGTTTTGAGGAAACTCCACACTGTTCTCCACAGTGGTTGCACCAGTCTGCATTCCCACCAGCAGTGCTCGAGGGTTCTTTTTTCTCCGCAACCTCGCCAACACTTGTCGTTTGTTGATTTGTTGATGTTGGCCGTTCTGACAGGTGTGAGATGGTACCACATTGTTGTTTTGATTTGCACCTCTCGAACAATTAGTGACTTTGAGCAGGTTTTCGTGTGCCTTTTGGCCTTCCTTCTGTCTTCTTTTGAAAATATTCTATTTAGGTCTATTGCCCATTTTTTAATTGGATCATTCATCTTCCTTTTATTTAGTTGTATAAGCTGTCTGTAAATGTTGGAGATTAAACCTTTATCAGTAGTATTATTTGCAAATATGTTCTCCCATACAGTGGACTTTCTTGTTTTGTTGATGGTTTCTTTTGCTGTAAAAAAGCTTTTTATTTTGATGTAGTCCCATTTGTTTATTTTCTCTTTAGCTTCTAATGCCCTAGGGGCAGTATCAGTGAAGAAGTTCTTTTGGCATACATCTGAGATTTTGCTGCCTGTGGATGCTTCTAGTATTTTAATGGTTTCCCGTCTGATGTTTAAGTCCTGTATCTATTTTGAGATTATTTTTGTGTATGGTGTAAGTTGGTGATCTAGTTTCATTCTTTTTGAGATATCTTCATAGATTTATTTTTTTATTCTGAGGCAATAGATAAATATTGCACCTCCTCTGTGTTAGGCCCCATAATTTTTTACATAGTTTTAAGCTCATGTAATCCACATGACCCTATGAGGTATTCACTATTTTTAAAATATATATATATATATATTTTTTTTTAAATTCTAAAATTATTTAAAGTATAGTGGCCTGGTGCATGAATTCATACACATTGAAAGAAAGTTAACTAGAAGAAATATTTTAATATCTCTATTAGCCCTTTCTCTATAATAGAAGTGTTAAACAAATTCATGATCAACAATGACAGATTGAAACATGTGCAATTGGCACCAGTGAGAGCTTTATATGTATGATGCATACACAAGTCAACCTAGCCTTTTATATATATATAAAATAGACTTGCTTAATTAGAACTCCTTTTTGCGTTAGCTAAACTTTTTCATATTCCGGCTAATGAAAAGACAATAGGATTACACTGAGTCTCCTATCTACCTACTCCAAGACTTGTTTTAGGATCAAATGAGATAAGGCACAGCAAAATGCTTCACAGATATTTGGTAAAAGGTTCCTCAGCCTGGCCTGTGGGATCAGGCTAAAACTGACTTTCCATCATCCCCCCAGGGGT